ACGGCTAGAACTTTTGGCTAGCCGTACGTTTCTTTATTTTTTATTTTTTTTTTTTTTTTTTTTTTTATTGTTACGTATTTTGAACCATAAAAAATCTCCTCTACACCTCCTGTGAAAATTAAATTGTCTGGTCATTAATATTTCCTTACGATTCAACTAGATTTATCATGAATCTAAAGATGTGGGGAAATGACATCACGCGCACCTGTTTTTATACGGCCAATACACAAACATGGCCGCGCTTACTGATTTGTAGAAATCGGTGATTTAGCGATTTAAATTTTGTTATCATTCGTTTAATATTATTATTTGGCGGCAGAAAATTTGCAGACTTATTATTTATAGTATTCTTTTTCTGAAATCAAGTTTTTATTCTAACCTTGTCTTTCCCTTTAAACCCAATATTATACATTATTTCTGTTCTTGTTGTTTACTAGTTAAAAGTTTAACAAAAATACGATTCATTTCAATCAATAAAATTTGATATTGTATGTATAGACTTTAGAATCAAAATGTTATTTATGTTTTTTTGTTCATAAGAAATTAATGTTATAACTGTTATAAAAATGCATGTATTTAACTAAGATATCATTGCATGCAATTTGTTATGCATCCGGGAATTTCACTCGTTAATTAGTAGAAACGCATTTTTCAAAGCCTTTTAATTGAATCCATTTAATAGCACTAATACTAAACTAAGATACTGCTCTTACGGTTTCTAAATTATGTTTTATAGGAAACTAACATAACTGATCCGACAGATACATTTTAAATTGACCGACTTAAATAGTTTAAATACATAAAAATGGAATAAATGTATTTACATTCAGATTTTACATGAATATCTTAAACCAGCAAAGCCCCCTTAATCTTACACGCATAATTTAAGGTTTAAATAATATTGATAAAATGAAATATATTAAGTTTTTCGGCCTTCGGCTGATTGTTTTCACATTGACTTCCGGCTTAGGTATAGAAATCTGTTTCCCTCATTTCGGTGTTTGCAAGACAGATAATTTTTGTACTTTTTAGTATGTAAGATTTATTTTTTTATCATTTATCATTTTAGTTAACTTTATAATTTAGAGAATTCCTATTTTCCTATAGATAAATATGTTATTTTCTCGAGCTTCTAACACGACAACAATGAGTACCAATTCTTGGCATTTATATCCGGGTTTCAAAAAGGCGGATGCGTATTCCGTCTTATTTTGAGTTTCTAAGGCTGGTTATTTATTTTTCAGCAAAAGTAAGTATGTTTTCCTAAAAAGGGGTCATTGTGACCGGAGTGCCGGTATTCTTGATGTTTTTAAGAAAAATGACTTCACATGCATAATATTATGACTCTAGAGGCCCACTATTGGAATTGTGACCATCTCTTTCTCACCCAACTCAGGAAAAGAGCACTCTGCGTAAATGCACGCACTAACAGTAACGAAACACCTCACGCAAACTCTGAAATCATTTACAAAACATATATTTCACCAGTTACGGATAACTGTTTAAACTTATGGGGAATATTGAGCATGTGTTGAAGTTTTAAAACTTTCAAAGATATCATGCATTCGATACAATCGACCACATTACACTTCTACAGCGCCTTAACACCAACTTTGGCATTTCTGGAAAACCGTTAGAATGGATACGTTCATATCTAAGTGATCGACACCAGACTGTCACAATAAATGGTGACCTGTCAAACCCTGTCAAATTGAGCTACAGTGTGCCTCAAGGATCCGTTCTGGGACCAAAACTTTTTACTATGTACACTAAACCTGTTGGTGCAATATGTAAGAAACATGGATTGGAATACCATTATTATGCAGACGATGGACAACTGTACCTCTCCTTTAAACCAACATGTCCAGTCTCTAAGAATGACTCTTTAGATCGAGTTCAAAGCTGTCTTGCGGAAATAGTAACATGGATGAACAATAATATGTTAAAAATCAATGCTGACAAGACAGAAGTAATTATATTTACATCTCAGAGAAACCAACAGCATGTTGAGACCATAACTGTGACTATCGGAGATGAAAACATAAAACCATCAAATAGTGTAAGAAATCTTGGTGCTGTATTGGACAACAACATGACCCTGGAGAAATCTTGGTGCTGTATTGGACAACAACATGACCCTGGAAAAGCACATTAACTCAGTTTGTAGATCTTGTTATGGACAACTACGCCAGATTGGTCATATAAGGAAATACCTAAATACTGATGCAACAAAATCTTTAGTGAATTCTTTAGTCACCTCACGCATGGATTATTGTAATGCACTTTTATATGGTGTATCTAAAACTACATTGAATAAACTACAACATCTTCAAAACACTGCTGCCCGCATCATCACAGGAACATCCAGATTTGAACATATCACTCCAGTATTGAAGAAACTACACTGGATTCCTGTGGTTTATCGAGTAGATTTTAAAATCCTTATGCAAACTTATAAAGCCCTACATGACCAGTCACCAATTTACCTTAAACATTTACTGGCACTATATCAACCAACAAGAAACTTAAGATCAAAGAACTCTTCAAAGCAACTTGTTGTTGCCAAAAGTAGGACTGTAAGATATGGTGAACGCAGTTTCTCTTCGGTGGCACCTAAACTGTGGAATGCTCTCCCAGACAGTATCAGAGACTCAAAAACAGTAGATGTTTTTAAGAAATCTTTAAAAACACATTTTTTCCAGAAAATTTATAGTAACTAACTGTGCTGTATTTGTCATCACTATGAATTGGCGTGCTGTCTTTTGTTATGAGATATCTGGGTACACATTTGAAATATAATAGTCTATTTTTGAATCACATTTCCATTACTAATTACTGTTTTTATCAAATTGGATTTAGATTTCAGTTGTCTTATCTTTATTTGTGTTTTTATTATTAATTTTAATAGTTTTCACGTTTCTCTTTATTTTATTTTCAAGTCTTAGATTATTCTTCATATACATTTTTTTATTTGATCGACTGAGTTTTAGACTTTTAGATTAATCATGGTATATTTTATATTTTGTAAATGTATACATAAATGTGTGTTATTATTTTTATTACTTTTTTGTTTTTAAAGTCATTGTAAATGTATATAATTCCATTGTAAAGCGCCTTTGAACATTTTATTTTTGAGAAGGGCGCTATAGAAATGTGGTAATTATTATTATTATTATTATTATCATTAAGTATTTTTTTTAATACCGAAAAACCTTATATCGAGTAATGATGAAGATCAACAGTACACATTTCTCCATTTGATTTGAAAACAATGTGGAGTACTTACATGTATCATGATCATCTGAGTAGTTAATACCATTGGGGGAAATAACAAAGTCGGTTATTGACAATGATAATCAAAGCACTGAATTTGTTTGGGTCTCAGAATGTCAGAAAGGTGAAGGTTGTGAGATTATAAACCAATTTGTTTTTGTTAGTGCCACCAATGCTTTCCAGCCTTTAAATTGTAGTAAAATGGCCATAAGACTAATTGCAACACTGATATTCAATTCAATGTTTATTTGACTTAAACAATTTGAAAAAAAATGAGTTGCCTTAACTGGGATTTGAACTTCTGACCTCTCGCTTCCTAAGCGAGCGCGCAAACCCTCTGCCACGGTGAAGTTATATGTTAATGACCTGAAGAAAACCATATTATTCTAAATTAGGGTTTGTAACCCTTATTATTTCGACGCTAACTGTTGTTTAAAACAGATGTAAATAATCATGGAGCTTTCTATAAGCATGTATTTCTATAAAGAATAAAACAAAATTAGAAATTTTCGACCATTCGGGAACTATTTTGCTTGAAAATTAATGCGCCTGTCATTTGACCATCTATACGCAGTGATCTCCCCTGAATTTTTCGGCGTTAGTGTACATATAAAGGGAAGTAACCGCTTCAAAAAAAGCGGACTACTTTCGGCATTTTCAATTAACAGCATCAGAGTCTGAAATTTCGCTACCGGTCTGACGACCATGAAAATAAGCATGAAGTTGGAGGGACGCTGCTTTGAATAGAATAAGATGACATAATCTGATGTATTATGTTTTGGATAATGTTGAATGAACGTCTTTATTATTGAGGGGCCTCATTCCAACTGTTGTTTTGTAACAAAGGCATTTTCGGCTAAGAAGAACAAACGAACTTCCACTAAGAGAAGATAAAATCGGTTCAGAAGATACAAAGGTACGTTTATCAAACAAACAATTTTTTTTACCAAATTACCACCATTCTTTATTCAAAATGGTTCTGTCCGAAAATGATCTCCAATAAAGCTTAGAAATATTTATTCCTTGCGAACCATTTAAGGACATTTACCGCGGTCATTAAAAGGCTCTGAGGGGGGATCTTACAGCATTTTGGTTGATAAATTCATAATTCACATAACATAGCAACGTCAAATAATTTATATTATTTTTACTCGGGAACAAGATTTTGAACTCATTTTATCAAGTTTATATAGAAACATGGAACATATTGAATTCTTATTCACGTTTATTGACTCATGCGTTTGTGGTAAATATACATCATGAATCTGGTTTGAAATGTGATGCTATAATAGCGTCAACGCACGTTTTTTCTGTGTTATAAAGTCTGTATGAACGCGACAACATTTTAAGTTCGACTCAATTGAAAAAGCAACTTTTAAATGAAACATCATTGTTTTGTGTAACAATATACAGTGACGCTTGATTATGTCAACACGTGACTATACATCTTTTCCGCCCTTTCCTTCAAACTTCGTTATTACAAGTAATTGCCGAGTAGCTCCGATTGACAGTTGCAGAATTACTATTTTTTTGTCAATTGCTTAAAACACGTTTCTTGTTTTGTTATAATAAAAAAAACTCTTCTTTTCCTGTTTTATTATGAAATCTACACTCATACATTGAAATAGATTTTAGATATTATATTCAAATAATGATATTTGATACATAGCCTTCTAATTTAAGAATGTTTCAAACCAGAATTGTTTATTGTATGCCTGTGAAACTTACTTGAATTTTTGCAATTCAGTTTTCTTTGCAACAATGGCCACGCCCAAGAACGTTCGAATTATCATAATTAGGATGGCGAGATTGATCTATAGCATATAAAAAATCAAGACTTCTTATATTTGAACATAAATAAATGAAAAAAAAAACAGTAATCTTAAGAATATTTTTTTTTATTATTAGAAATAACAAAAGAATGGCAGACTGCACACGTTGCAGTGCCGTATAGGAGCGTCATAAATCAGTGAGTTACCCCAACTTCCCAAATTTGAACCTAAGTTACTAGAGAAGCAGGCAGAAACAAGTAAACCCTACGGCACTCACAGACTACCCAATGAGAGTCGTCTGCGGGCCAATTTTGATTGGTGCTCGATCGTGCGGCGAGGCAGCGAGAGCTCCGGTATCAGAAACGTGTGGAGGGACAGCTACTCTGGACAGATCAGCCGAGAGTCAGCGATCGATGTTCAGATGTGTCAACCGGGACACACGCTCCGATAGTTTCAGGTATAAAATGGACTATATATACTGTAATGTAATGAAAAAGAAAACGCATAAGCTTTAATTATACATTATTATGAATAAAAATCAAACATATGTAGTAAATTAAATTGTTAATCTAAATAGTTTATACAACTTTTACTCATAGATAACTGTGAAATTATTGTAATATATCTGTTATTGCAAATATGATACACTCAAAACTTAAAATGCTACCAAAACATAACATAATGTTTATAATTAATAAGGGAATAAAGTATCTCTTAAAGGGAGGTAAACTCTGAAAAGCTAAATTATCCAGCGCATATTCGTCTGAATCGTTACAGAGATATTTGATTATTGTTTTTTTCTTTAAAAAGTGAACGGATTAAGAGTTTCAAGCCAATATGAAAGTATTTTACAATATTATTTAAAGGACAATACCATTTAAGTTTGTGAGTAGATGTTATAGATCTACTATATCTACTGTCCAAAAATACCTACATGCCACGCGAAATCTACCTTGTGCAGAAATCTGTCTTTGTGGTCGATAAGGTGGGGATCAATATTCAAATGGTTTCTGAGTGAGGGTGGGGTCATTTTTCTCCAGATGCAGTTAGTATTTATAGAAAATAGCTCACTTTTTCTATAGAATTTTGAGCAGGGATCATTATTCTACGGGGTATCTTTAGTTCGTTTCACCGACATTTTGCTGTGAATACAATGTTCATGCTCAACACTCACCCTAATTTTTATATATACAGTTTTTAAATAGCCACAAAAGCGCATTGTTTTCCGTAATTTGCATTATCTTCATTTATATCTACGTTGCATTTTGGGGTCATTTGCTCTTCAATATTGGAGGAATAAAAAAAGTATCTATATCTATATGACATCAAGCATCAAACTTGACAAAAATGTACTAACATTTTAAGAAAAGAAAAATGATTCAAGATTCAAACAACTATTTACATGGTATATGCGATTAATGACTGATTTTGCAGTATCTATCACCATATTTCTTCTGTGTTACTAATGCAGTAAGGACTAGTTTTGCATAATTTGGCCTCTTTTTTGTAATTTACGTGGAATGTAAGTGCCGTTTGCAATGTGAAAATTATTGACATTGTTCACTTCACAATATTTTACTTTTAAATACATTTTCAAGATTTTCATGAAAATTAGCATGAATCTGGAGGGACGCTGCTCTCAACAGAATAAGATGACATAATCTGATGTATTATGTTTTGGATAATTTTTTATTATTGAGGGGCCTTATTCCAATTGCTCTCTTATAAACTGTAACTAATGCATTTTCGCTAAGAGATTAAGAAACAAAGGATTTTCGGCTTTGAAGAACAAACGAACTTCCACTAAGAGAAGATAGAATAGGTTCAGAAGATACAAAGGTATGTTTTTTAAACAAACAACTTATATTTTGACCAAATTACCACCAATCTTAATTAAAAATGGTTTTTGCCCGGAAATGATCTCCCCATATGAAACAATTATTCATTGCGAACCATTCTAGGAAATTAACCGCTGTCATTTAAACGGGGGGGGGGAATAAGTAAAAATAACCACATTTTGTTTGATAAATTCATAATTTTATATACAGGAATCACATAACAAAGCAACTTCAATTAATTTTACATTATTTTTACTCGGAAACAAGAATTTGAACTCATTTTATCAAGTTTTATCAGATTGAAATCTTATTATCAACGTTTATCGACTATTTATTTTGTATTAAAATTTGATATAGATAATGAATCTGCCACGCACGCTTTTTTTCTGTGTTAAAAAGTCTGTACGAACGCGACAACATTTTAAGTTCGATTCCATTGAAAAGGCCGCAGAAACGCTTGATTACGTCACCTTTTGACTATGCTGTTGGCTTTGCTTTTGACAGTTTCTCACAAATATGTAGTGGCGGAGTACAAGTTGGCCTGAAATATTAAACTTCGCTCATTATATATTAAAACATGAAATAAAATTTTTATGCCGGGAAAGAATCCGTCAAACCATATTTAAAAAGGGAGTAAAAGAGGTGTTTCCCTTTTGGGCAACCCGTTTTTTTTAGTTCGTCTGTTTCTTCCCCCGAAGCCCCGTTTTTAAAAGATGTTTTAAAACGCGAAGGACGATGGTACGTGGGGAAAACAGAAGGGAGAGATTTAAAACCGATTTATTTACGATTGGGAAATCGCGATGGGAAAGATTGTTTCGGGTGGGGAAAACGCGAGGTTATTTAAAAGAGATGGCCCCGGGTTTGGGGGGGGAAAAACACCCCGAATTTGGAAAAGGTTTGACAAAACCGAATTGCCACCCATGGTGAAATCCCGGAAAGGGCCCCATGATGAAAGCGCCCCCAAGGGGGGGAAGGGGTGGAAAACGAGGGGGGATCGGGAAAAAATGGTTGAAAGGGAAGGGCAAATGGGAAAAAAAGGGGGGATGGTACGATGGTGAAAACGGCCCAAAAGGCAAGAGATACTCTCGCTGCTCATGTGATATCGAACTCAGTGCTTCACGATGTGCTGAAAACGCGATGGTCACGAATATTAACATCGCGTTTTTATCATCAGACAGCCATTCGCGTACCATCGCCGACTTTAACCATCGTTTACCATCGTGTTTTCACCATCGTACATTCGTGTTTTCATTATCTTGACATCGCGTTGTCACCATCGTACCATTCGTGGCATTCGCGGTAAGGACGAAATAAAAAAATCACGATTGTTCCAAACGGAACACCGTAGTTATAGCGATACTTTACTGAATGAAATATAAAACAAATACAAATATAGCCCAGAATATATTTATCAGGAGCTAACAAAATGGAAGCACTTTCTATTTAAAGACTTTGTGTCAACTAATTATTGATATACATGTACATGTATTACAATAAGGTTATCCTAAGTGACTACTTTATGACGTCTGAAATTAAATACATGTAATCAACAACGAGTCGTAGATCTTGAATAATACACGTGCCTTTTTGTGTGGTTTCTTATTTGTCAAAGACTGTCGGTATAGGTCGACACTCGAGATCTGGTTTCGTCTTCGGAAAGAACATGCCTTTTTTACGTCCTCATTAAAAACCACGTGGAACAAAAATATGAACAATCCCTGAAAAGGAAAAAAAGCTATTCAAGATGTTAATGATAAAACTATTTAAATAACGTAAATAAACCAAATGACGTCTGAAAAATTACTTAGAACTACGCTCAATTTAGTTCAAAATATTTTTAACAATTCTTTTTTTTATTATCATGTTTGAATGGAAACTGATATATATTTTTTTTTCTTGCATTATAGTAAAATAATGCCCGGTTTATCGTTCAAATGCTTTGAAATTATTCTCTGGAGCCTATCAGCCTTCTACGCATTTGAACTCGAAACGTGCATTATTCTAAACAACTCAAGATTGATTTCTATTTCCTAGGAAAACTATGTGTGGATACACGCACGGATAAATATATCACTTATTTCAGTCTTTGGTCTTATTATTTCAAAAAATCAACTAGATTAACTATTAGAATAAATTGAAATATAAATCTTTTATCTTTGAAGTTCAAAATCAATCAATACAAATGTTATATATTACTTGTAGGGAGTTTAGAATTGCGAAGATGTACTGGAAGATTACAGTAGACTCGTTCACAGCTACAACCCCAAACATCCAAGTTATTCCAAGTAGTGGTAACAGAACTACTGTAGCTTTCAAACTGGCCCTTAAATGAAGAAAAATTATCGCAAATGTTCAAGAGTACATAGCATTCTTATTCAAACGCATCTTCCCCGTTCGTTATTATGAATAATAGCCAAGACATATTTCCGAATGTTTCGTTGTTGCCAATTGCTTGAAATACATTTTTGTATTATTTTAAAACACAATTATTTTTTATTTTTATTTTATTTTTTTTTTGTAATTGAATCTACACACCTACATTAAAAAAGATTTTTGAATAAATTATTATTCAATACAGCAAATTGTCATCCATATTTAATTTGATTATATTCTTTCTTATTAAAAGGATGTTTTACAATACTGTGAAACTTTTTACTTTGAAATGATTTTTGCAATTTCAGGGTTTCTTTGCAACAATTTTGGCCCGTCCCAATAACGTTCGAATTATAGTAATTTTAGGAGGGAGAGTTTGATCTAAAGATATTTAAATTCTCAAGGACTTATTATGTAAACACAAATAAAAGTAAATTCTAAATAAATTCATAAGAAGGCAAAATTCTATAGAAATAAAAAAAGAAATGGCAGACTGGCCACACGTTGAAGTGCCGTATATGGAGCGTCATAAAATCAATTGAGTTTACCCCAAACTTCCCAAATTTGAACCAAAGTTACTAAGAGAACAGGCAGAAACAAGTAAACCCCACGGCACCACAGAAATACCCAAAGAGAGTCGTCTGGGGGCCAAAATTTTTATGGGGCTGATCGTGCCGAAGGGAGCGAAGCTCCGGTAAACCAAAAACTTTTGGAGGGAAACATTCTGGACGAAAACAGCCCGAAGTCAAGCGTCGATGTTTTAGATGTGTCAAACCCGGGGCACCCGTCCGATTTTGTTTAAATATTTAAAATGGCTATTATTTTTACGTAAAGTAATGAAAAAGGGAAAACGGGATATTCCCTTTAAAATAAAATTATTTTGGGAAAAAATTAAAAATTTGTGTTTAAATTAAATTTTTTCTTAAATAGTTTATACAACTTTTACTCATAGATAACTGTGAAATAATTGTAATAATCTGGTATTACAAATATGATACACTCAAAACTTAGAATGCTACCATAACATGTGTTATTTATAAGAGAATAAAATATCTCGTAAAGGGAGGTAAACTCTGAAGCTTTTATCCCGCGCGCGCATTTTAAATACATGGTTGTTCACATAGCGTTACATCGATATTTAATTATTTATAAAAGAAGTGGAGAGATCAAGAGTTTAAAGCCGATGCAAAAGTATTTTTACATTCTTTATTTTGCTAATACGTATATTAATATATAATTTTAAGGACGCTAGCATTTATGAAAACTAGTGAGTACATGTAACTAACTTTATTTTGTTAAAAAGAGCGCGCAGATGTTTTTTCTTTATCTGCCGCACAGTACGCTCACAAATAATTATCTGTCATGGATGAGAATACGGGGGAGGAAGTCCTGTAAAAGTTTGTTGCTTCGAAAACAAAACTGGACATTGAACCCAATTATTATTATTAAAATAATGTATTATGCTTATTGCTATTTCTTTTAAAATAAATTAAAATTTAAAAAATAAGAATTAATCAAATTCAATTTTAAAGGAGTAGGTTAAAATTTTTGTTTTGTCTTTAAAAAAAAAGTTTAGATCTAAAGTTTTTGTTTAATGTTATATGAAATTAAGTCATAAAAAGAAGTTATCACGATTGAAAATTTTTTGTTTTTTATAAACCCTTTTTGAAAAAAGTTTCTTTTAAACTAATTGAATTTTCACCCAAATTATAAAAATTAAAATTTTTAAACCCCAAAAAAGTCAAAGGGGAGAAGAGGAAATTTTTCTGGGAAGGATAGATCTATTTTCTTTGATCAAATATTCTAAATGAATTAATATTCAAGTTGTTAAAGACCGAAACGGCCCAACCCGCGTGGATAAAAATAAGTATGACAGAATTATTCAAATTATTAATCTTTTATTAAAACTTCAAATGAAAGACTTACTGTTATCACAGTTAAGGCAGGACCGACAAATGCCCATATAGCCCCTTCTGTTGACAACCAACAACTGAAATGAAAAATTGTTAACTGGTAGAATCTTGTTAAAATAAATCTAAAACTGATCACAATGTTATTATATATATGTAACAGATACTTATAATTGTGAGAAGAAAACAACAACAAAAATACAACAAAAAACATACATCAACAACAAAAAAGTTGTTCTTTCTATCGTTTCAATGATAATGAAATGAAACAATGAATACATAAATCTAAGACTTAATTAAATGTCATTTTTAATGAAAAATGTCCTGATAAATTTTGGATATGTTTGTACTTAACCACACTTATTAACATTGAAGCTTACTGTTGTTCGGTGCTGTACCCGTCTCCAGCTGATATTAACGATAAAGAGACAATTATAAACGGAGAACCTGAAAGAAAAAGAAAAAGAAAAAACAAAGATGAAAACAATGAGGTGTAAAAAAGGTTGATTCATTGTACCACTAAAGAATTTTTAAAACATGTTATTGAGTTTAATAAAAGGGAAACGTTTCCCAAAAAACACCGGGAAAAATTAAAAAAGTCCCAGTATTTGTACTGTAAACAAAATTAAGAAAGACAGCCTATTATAATTATGTCCATGAATGCTAATTGAGAGCCTACAATAATTATTTCAATGAATGCTAACTGTGTAATAATATGTAAAATATACAACTGACTTTTAAAAACTTAAACTGGTAAGAACTGACGTTATCTACGATGAACGACTGGCTTAAATATTTATTGCAACTCGAAAGTGATTAAAGCAACGAATATACCCGGTATATAAAATACTTACATGTCTGTATTATTTATCTAACTAATACATATGTCATGAGAAAGTAATGTCTTGACTTGCAACAATGACTCATAAAACCAAACTCTCTTGGCCAAACTTGAATAACCCAATCATACGAATCGTGATTGCTTTAAGAATAAAATAGAGAAAAACAGAATCCCTTAAGAAAGCCCAACACGGCAAAATTGAAAATGTTGCAGGCTTTGGTTTAACTTAAGGAAAGGGAAAATGCAAGTTTCCCTCCACGCCCCCCCGCACCGGCTTAAGCCAGAATTTAAAAACAAAAAGATGAAAATTTTTAATTAAAAACATCCGCGATTGTTATTTTAAAGGGGGTTAAACAAAACCCTTTAATTTGAAATTTGTGCCCTTCCAAAGAAAAAACGCGTATAAACCCCAAAATAAAGAAAAGCCCGGCCAACGGGAAAACAATGGGAACTAAATAAAAAGGAATTTTTAAAGGGGAATTTTGAGGTTATTTACCTAAGGCCCTTGTTTTTCTGGTTTTGTATTAAATTAAAAATTTTGAATCAAATTGTTTTAATTTCATACCCATCCTAAGAAAAAAAAGCATATTAATTTTTTATGTCTGCCCTCAAAAAGCTTTGGGGTTTGTTTTTTGGAAAAGTTTTATTCCCCTCGCAAGCATCAAAACGTAAAACACTCAGGTACAAGTAATGAAGCAGGATGGCAACAAAACGACAAGCTATCTGTTAAACAAAAAATATAGAAATATGTAAACAAATCCTAGAATCTGTAAACAAAAAATGTAAACAAACCCGGCCGTGGAATATGTAAACAAAAATAGAATACAGCAGAGATTGTTAGTTTATAAATATATTATTTATGAAGTTCATAAAAATATAAGATAGAACGTATTTTTATTTCTTAAAAAAAAATTTTTATTTTTTGTGCTCTGTTATAATTTCAGAAAAAGGTTATTCATGTAGCTACAGTTATATTATAGCTTATAGTGTTTTAGTATTTTGTATGGAAGTAATAAAAAAATATCAATTTGTTTACATTTTGCTACTTCTATGACAAATTCTTTAACACAAAGCGATTCTTTCTTCAAACGAAAAGCATTTAACAGGCTCAAAATACATTATTAAAAGTATATAAAATAAATTGTTTGCTCTTTTCTTTTTAAAGAAAATCAATGTATTAATGTCTGAAACTTAATGTGCCTTGGATTCAAACAACGGAGCAAATTGTTAATGATTTGACTCTTTATAGGACATTCATCACCTTTACCTTAAACTGTACAGCATCGATCCCTAACAGAAATACAACTTGCGCAATAATGACAGCAACAGAAAGGTGCAGCAAAAGGTAATATCGGTCAGAACGTAGTCTGCAAAAATTGAATGATAGAAACACATGATTAAATATTTTGTAGTAAATTAATGCAGTACAATAGCTACTATGCAATAACAAGTAATGCTTTAATTTCAATGTCATTTTTAATTTTTATAGGTGGGAAATTAAGCTTATTTAAACTTCTTGACAGAAGAAGAAACGTCAGTATCATTTAAATTAAGATAATATCTCATAAAATTGACACTTTTAAATTAATATAAATAAATATACATTGTGTATACAAAAATGTATAAACCTAATAGAGTTCATATTAAATAAAAGTATCTTCATTGTTTGTAGCTTGAATTGTTGATGAAATTTAAGAAGCAGAATTTCAGAAAAAGGCCGCTAATTTAGATAATAAATTGATTAAAATTACCGTAACCATAGTAAGACGGCAATGGTGGTGGTTAACGCGGCAATTGATATACAACAGCCAATCTTTGTTAGAATTTCCAAGGAAACAACGTGCACTTTCTCTGTCTGACAAAAAAAAACACAATAAGGAAATAAATGATTAAATGATTTTTTTACAAGGTAAAGCAAATTGATAAGAGCAAAGGTTTTTGCCACATCAATACACAATTTTGATGTCGTAAGTAAAATCACTCAATATGAAATAGTAGCTATTTTAGCAAAACGTAGCCGTTATAATGTTATCTTTATTTTATCACGTGTCGTCCGTTTGATCATGGACTGCACAGTACTCTCTTTAATTTGTAATTACTTTCAAATGTTATACAAACCTGAAACATTTTGACCTGCATCAACACAGCAAAGTTTGTTAAATGTGAACACTTGCATCTGGTGTGGGAATTATTGTATCTAACCATCCAGCAACCGTCCGTACTCCATTTGCTTGTACTTTGTCTGAATGTGTTGTTTCAATAAAAGTAAATGTATGATAAAATGACTGTTTGTAACACTTCTGTATTTAAACAGTATTGTATTGTTTTTTCTTTATGTATGATTTTCCTAATCTTGTAAAATTTGTGGACCACAAAATTAAAATTTCCAAAACTTGTTATAAAATGTACCTATGTGGGTACAAGTTTTGGAAAAAAAACTCGTTTTTCTGTTCTTTTAAAGGGTTAAAAAAAAAAGAGGGCAATAATTTTTCCAAAAGATTGTTTTAAAATTATTGATGAAATTTTTTGAAAAGAAAAATTTGAGATAAAGTTTACCCTTTTTTTTTTTCCCGCCCCCATAAAACCAATATTCTAGGGGTATCAAATTTTTTGTAAACCTGAAGAACCAAAATAAATTGGGTTTCTAAGTTTCTTTTTCATTGGAAAAAGTAAATGAAAAATTAAAAAAAATAGATAAATAAAAACAACATCAAAGAAAAGTGAAAAACTTTCTTTTTTATAATACACACATGTATATCATATCCGAAACATTCTATTTTGATCCTTTATTTCAGACAACAAAACAAGTTATATGTATTGACATAAATAATTTCTTTTTCAAAACCTTATTTTACCTCGTCTGTCGAAATGTCAAGCACCACTTCAAATTGGTCACCAAAAGCAGGCTCCATTACAGCTGAGACCACATGTCCACCTAAAGTCAGTCTATTTAAGTAAAAATATCATAATTTAAACTACGTTTTGCATCCTCTCTTTAGCAGAGAACGTACAATCTACTTGGTAATCAGTTTTATCATGCTTAAGAATATTTCACGATCAAAATTAGTGCATTCTGAACTAATAATCCTTTACAATATTGTAGTATTACACTTAAAAATTAAGTATATAATGTACTATATAGATTGTTCTATCAAAACAGTAAATATAATAAGCAAGTTGTTGTATTGTAATGTTTTACAATCCAGTTACAGTCTGTTATGTATGAAAAGGTTTATTTCCCAGAAAATTTAAAATATGTATAGTACAAGTTCAACAAAAGTAACAAAAATAAATAAATAAATAAATAAATAAATAAATAAATAAATAAATAGATAAATAAATAAATTAATTAATTAATTAAAAATAAAACATAATTTAAAAAAAATGAAATGAGTTCTTCATTAACATGACGACTTTTCAGGTATAAGTTATAACCTTGTGCTGTCCATACTATTTCCTACAAGAACAGGGATAATGATATCTTCAAGTCCACCTATGGTGCCTGTCACAAGAGTAGTTTTGTTATAGCTTCCTGAAATAAGTAATTCTACATTTATATTTCAAGTTTATTGGCAAAAGCAGAAAAATATATTTGGCTTTGGCCATTTACAAAATACATGTAGTCATGTGAAGAATGGCTAAAACATGCACTGTAATATTGACAATAATAAAATACAAAGAATTGGTAAAATAGATTGTATAATAAAAGTATTTGTATTCATATGCATGAATGGTTTATTTCGGTAAATTTCTTGATAAAATGTTTTAGTTGTACTATTTTATGAGCCACACTTCCCATTTTAAAGTCCATAACACACAGTTGGAGTAAATTCAATAATATATTTTCAAATACAGTAATGTCATTTGTATAGAGATTTAAATACTATTTGATTAATTTTTTTTCGTGTTTAACAAAAGTTTATTATATTCTATGATTTTCAATTTAACTTACCAGATGCATTTTGCGACTGGAATATTATATTAACATCGCTCTGGCTTGTAAATGATCTTATTTCCGAGGTGAAACTCTGTCTTTTATGAATATTTTGAACGCTGAACGCCGTCATCTTCGACCTAACGGTTATTGTTTTCAAATCATCGTTATTAGTTTTACTCAGCGCGTCTATCAGTGTATCAAACACTGTCAATAGAGTACTCAATTTTCCCTGGAATACAACAATAAAAAAACAACAATAAGAACACAACAATAAGAACTCATGTATAAGAAACCAGAAATAAGAATAAAGTACTTTGAATGTTTTATTCTGAAGGCTAAATAAGATATGGGTCAAGTCACTAAATGGAACAAAATTATTTCACGTTTGAAAAAAAGCATATTCCCAGTCCGGCTTGTTAATCAATCATTGTTACAATGTTTCTTTCCACTTCTCACAATAAAACTTTTTTGAAAATAATCGTATAGAAAATGTTGAAATAAACAATACAATGTACTAGTTAACCAATATTTCGTGAATTTATGACATTGTAGAAAAAAGGCAAACCTGTTCCACATACCTTTTGACTAAAATTTAACAACTCTGCTTTGGAGAGAAGCATATCAAATATATGACCGCATATCTGAAATAAATTAATAAACAAAAAAAAACACATGTATTGTATAATTTGTGATGTTTTAATCAGACAACCAGACACAATGACTTTAAGTTGATTAGGAAACATTCAGATTAATACAAAATGTTATTTTTGGATGTTCAATATATATTTTAGTTGAGTTTTATGTTGCACCAACACAGTAAGTATTGGTCATATGAGGACTTTCCAGCTTGACTGGTGGAGGTCGACCTCGGATGCCTTTCCGTGCGTTATTTTAGGCGCGAACGGGCCCCTGAGTAGAGCCACCGACTTTCCGCAAGCCAGCTGACGCATGCTAGCTGGACAGCTTTCTCATATGAAATAATCTAAAATTAATTTCGGAATTCGAACCCTCAGCGATGAGGGGCAAGTAAAATTTGAAGTTAAGTACATTAACCACTGCGCGAAGATAGATACAAGCTGATAATGTTAATTCAGTGTAAAGTATGGCAGATGTTTTTGAATTTACCTCCAGATATACTTCTAGTTGAGGACTTGAAGCGTTACATAACATTGATTTATCAACAATTTCCAGAAATATACTTGTTGCCATGGCTACATCTTGAATGCTTGTATTTGTGAAGTCGTTCCCTACATGCAACAGTTTTTCGAGAACCTTCTGACTTGCGTCCATTGTCAAACTTGTTGCGTTCTCAATCTCGAATAAAGTATATACAATTTAATTTTATTTTCTGCTCTTATAAAATTGTATTTTTGTTCATTATAATTAATGTTTTTAACTTTATATACATTTTGCATTTGTCTTAAAGTTGAAATGAAGGAAAACGAATTTGTAAAAGAGAGTTTCAATATATAATGTCTCGATGACTTTAGCTGGCTAAATACACATTTATTTAACATATGCTTATCCACACAACATTCTTGTCCAACATGAGTAATTACATTTAACATATAACATAATAGCATACCTTTACCATGGTTTCTCTCAAATATATCAACGGAAGAGGTTCTATAAATATAAAAAAGAAGATATTTTAGTTTATATTTAGCTTCCTCCAAACGAGTAAGCATGTATAATACGTATGATGTGTATTAACTTCTTTAAATTCTTAAATAACTGCAATTCAACCACTTTTACATTATGACATTATGAGTGTTCAGATAAAATCAAAATTTGACATTGTGTCATGTTATAATGTATACTCACAACAATATATGTAAATATCATTCGGAAAATATCGGTAATGTTCAATTTTTAAAAAAGAGTGGAGCATATTCTTCTATATTTTTGAAGATTTTATATTTTATCCTAAACATTTGTAATTATTAATTATTGTTTAATTGCCTTTAAAATAGTTAATCTTTTTTAAAATATACAATTATTTAATCTCAGTTTGACGGTGAAATGTGAACTTTTTCTTGATCGAATTTACAACAAATCTTTTCCATGCCATTTTCATTAAATTCATTAAAATTAAATTAGACGTTTGACATAGAAACATGCACACTTACCAGATTCACAAAACTTTCTGTATAAAATCATGCCCATTCTTCTCCTGGACATATTTGTCTGTGTGAACTCAGTCTCATTCAATAACAAACATTCTCTCTTGACAGCGTTATAATTGAAGCCATGGCAAATGAAAGAAACGTTAGTAGAACAGACAAACATGCAGTGTTCCGGTGCTGAATTTTGCACAACAGCAACCGGTGCAACATTCAACTGGAAGTTCCTTTTAGCATCGTATGTCCAGTTGGTAAGACAGTCTTTCAAATAGAAATAAATTTGGAATAAGCATCCAACAATAAATAAGAAAACCAACAGAATGAACAAATTTGAAAAAAATAGGTGTTCTTTATCAAAACCCACCTTTCTAAAATTCTGCCATTGACTAGTCTTATTTTGAAATTGGAAATAACTAACGTTAATTTGATATAGAAATACTAAAATGGTAAAGAATCTGGCGGGAAAGTTGTCATTGCCCTATTCTGATGGTTTATTAAACCTTTATAAATCCACTAGCATTTATAGTTTTAAGAACTGAACGATTCCATAGACATTTTTATTGAAATTGAAACTGTAATTGTTATCTAATCATATCTTGAATTATTTTTAAAAATCGCATAGTTTTAATGTCATCAAATGGCCCTACTAGCTTCAGGCTCAATTTGATTAGAACCATTCAAACATAGTATGTTATCAATGGGCATGCAGCCAGATTACTGATATTTTCTAGTTCTACCTAGGATACCTGTCATTACCATGAAGATCTCAGAAAAGCAAATAAAAACACTAATATATAATATCCACTATAATTACCTGTCTTTTCAACAATTATTTTGACCGTTACTTTTGTTTCTATTCTGTTACAATTTGTAAGACGATCGCCGCCGTCTTTGAGGTACATAAACGTCACATTAATGATTTGGATGTCCTGAATATTGTTCATGTAGACAAGTGGTTTGGAGACTACAATCATGCCCTTTGGTGTGATGTAGAATGGCACATTAGCACTAGAAACACCTGCAACAAAATTTATACCTGTGTAATTATCCTAAAAATAAAATGATTCTTTGCCGCTTAAATGCCTAAATAATTATAAAGTTTTTACAACGACAAAGTGTATACAACATTGTCGAACTCGTACTGGAGACCAAAAATGACAACGTAAATTTGATATACAGCCAGTTTCTACGTAAAATACTATAGTACACGTCGAATGGAGTTGTACAATTGGATTGTTCAATACCTTAATTAAAGGACTAAACTAAACATAAACATATAGAAATTAGAAATTGAAACGTTTAAGCCGTACAAATGTGTTAGTTTGTACAATAATCTACGCTATACAGGCGCCAAATATAAAGATCGCACCACGTTTAGTCAAAGGGTGAAAAAAATGGACAAAATACGATACGAACTAAATGTATTTTACCAACACATTTAAATAAGATCTTTTCACTTTCTAAAAAAAACGTCCGTTAAGTACTAACAGCTAATTACTAAAGGATAATTTCTAACAACTAATACCTCGGCTCGATACTGAGAAAGGTGTTTGTGTGTCAAGGATGACCGTATCATTTATGTTTGATGTACATTCTACCATGCCCACCTCCTCACCGATCGGTGCTATTTCTCTCACACGAAGCTCTTGTCTTTAAAAGAAATCAATGTTTCCTTTTTTAATAAAACCATTCTATAGTCAACAGAGTTTTTATCTTAGAGATACACATTTAAGTAATTTATGTTTGTAACGGCAGTCAGTAGTTTTTTATTTTAAAAATAAGATACATAGTTAAATAATTTATGTTTGTAAAGCACATCTCTGATAATGGTCCTTAGTTTTGTCGTAACAGCGGAGTGATACAAAAAGGCGAAGCTTTATTGTATTTGAACATTGATTTTTTGTTTCCATATTTTATATGATATAGGTACAAAAAAAAACTATTTCTGAAACTGAACATTTTTATAAGTCGACAATTACACGCAGCGGGAATCATCCATTCACTTGATAATTCAATAAATGATTAATGGCTTTGAAGTTTGTTCATAATGTGTAATATGCTTTAGGAACAATAAATCTTTTATCTTTATTTCAAAATACACAAAAAAAATATTTTTCAGCATTGCCTTACAGCAATATTTCTTACATTTTAGGACAAGCCTTTGCCGAGATAACTGGTCTAATCAGTTTAACGTTAATCACTATGTCAGCACGAGAACCGCGTGCATCTTTCACGTGTTTACTTAGCTCCAATGATGTAGCGTTCAGCTCAGTAAGATCACGTGCAACCATAATGTCTCCAGTTCGTTTATCAATAATAAAAAATGTGCTTCCATCTAAAAATGAAACCAATATACCACTCATGTAGAAATGACAAACATATACATAAAAAGCATTTTGATATATAAATGTCTTGTGTGGATGACAGATGGCAAGTTATCTAAATACTTCAGCTTTTCATCAAATACGTATTGCATAATTATATAAGATATACATGTATCTAAAACACTAAAAACGTAGCATAAAGCAAACATTGCCGATACATTGAAATTATAATTAGAAATATCATAAAGTTCCTACCAGTTATAAAATTTATTATTTTTTAGTAAAAATGATTGCCAATGCGGCATGATTAAAATGTTCTAGGCTAGGTTTGTGGAATCCGAGTTACCATCCATGTCCCATAGAACCGTCTTAAGCAGAATTACATTTCAGGATGAAAATTATTTTTAATTAAGAGTTTTATAATATCCGGAGATGTGTTCATATGGAGGCAATCATGGAACCTCCATGCCAACATATGTATAGTCTTTAATATAATTTAGAAAAAATACCGATTCTCAGCGGGCAGACAAATATTTGATATACATATTCCATTTGAGCCGCGTCACGACAAAACCAACATAGTGGGTTTGCGACCAGCATAGATCCAGACCAGCCTGCGCATCCGCGCAGTCTGATCAGGATCCATGCTGTTCGCTATCAGTTTCACTACTTGTAATAGAGTTGGTAAACGAGCAGCATGGATCCTGATCAGACTGTGCGGATGCGCAGGCTGGTCTGGATCCATGCTGGTCGCAAACCCATTATGTTGGTTTTTATCGTGACGCGGCTCATTTACCCCCTAGTGTGTATATCCACGGAAGTTCGCCACCTACAGGCCGATGTTTGTCAATTACCGTTCCTATTTGAACATCAGCACATACGGTTTGGGTTACAGCATGCACCGGAAAATGTACATCTATATAGATACATAAATTCAAAATGTTATAAAATTTACCTTCAAATATGTTTCAAAACAATTAGATTTAAAAAACACGTACATTTCATATTACATATTGAAATAGATAGTTCTTATAAATATATATGTATAATATATTTTAAAAAACACAACAATTAAAATACCGAAATTTGTTTATTAATCATAATGCCTACTTACCACTAAACGATGTAATTCTGTACAAATTCTGAAATAAATAATAGTCTACATAAAAAAATTCAAAATAAATTATCGGAACTCACAATATAATTATTTAGAAAAAATGAAATTCAATTTCCCATAAAAAGTCAATTTCCCCAGAAAAATATTAAAATTATTTATTTTGTAGTGTATGCAAATTAAACTTTTACTATACAGAGAAGCATTATAAGAATTTATACTGACTAAAACAAACAAAAACAATATCCACGTATTTTTCCGTTGCAACATTTCGAATCTCAACACTCGAACTGATTTCAAATCTTAAAACTTAAACAATATGTTCCTATAAATTTATAAAGCAATTTGTCCCTGTCGTGAGATGTGAGCGTTATCAATAAAGACGTCATTTATTTATGTTCCATTGACAAGATACTGAAAACTGCACGAGGGTTTCTTGGTTACAGTATTCTAACACATGTTTCGATCTCATACGATGGGAAAATATTAATGCAGACTTTACGGAAGAAACTTGTCTCTTGGATTATTCATGGTAATTTATATTAATGCCCAACGTGACAACTGAACCAAGAAATATTTGTCAAATATGATGGAGCTTATACGTGAATTATACGTTTTATTTTAATCACATTTCATCATGTTGTTTATTTTAAACTAAAACAACTTAATTGTAAGATTGGTGAAAACTATTTTTTTCATTAGTTGATTTTAATTTATGGTTCGTGTAGGCAAAAAATCAACTTTCTTTTGGTCGCGGAAAACTTTTTGGTCTATTTCTCCACTAGTCATTAAATGTTAATTTCTGTATTTGGTTGGCAAAGAGAGCAGTAGTTGAAAATTAAAATCTTGGAGATTGGCAATTTGACGTTTATGAACGTTATATATTTCAACTTACCACTGAAGACAAATGTAAATTTTTTAATAAAGATATTTCTCCAACTTAGTTTTCTTGTTTGACATACTCATTGTTGAAGTGACGTAGTTCTGTGGAAGCATGCAGTACCCGTAGGTCCCAACGATGCGTTGAAATGTCCTTTTTGTATTTTTTCAGAACATGTAAATCATCCACCACTTCGCAAATGTACAATAGTCTCGAATTCCATTGCCAAAAATGTTTCAGGGATATTTGATACTCAAATTATAGCCTCTCAAACGATTGATATTTTAGTTTACTTAGTTTAATTAATGGATTATTGAATCATTTGTGTGTAGTAAAATATGAAGTTGAACACTATTATGTCAAAATGTTTAATTTTTTTACTTTTACTTTCTCACTCACCAGTTACTTTTGGCTGGACATAATGTTAGATTGAATGTGGTACTCCCCGTCGTGAAGCACAAAGGATGACGATTTTTTTTCCATCTTAATTTTGAAGGTACTAGGCATTTAAATTTTTTATTAAAAATAAAATTGAACACTTAAAGTAATTTGTGTTGGATGATCGTTGTGTGATATCTGGAAGATCTAATCTTTGAAATAAAGTGAAATCTTTATTTTTTAAAAAATCATTGTTTCAAATATTAATTTACATAGTTAATTACTCAGCCATTATGTTTCGCTTAGGACACTTGGTTTGTCAGCAAAGGCTTGATCTTGCAGGTTGGCAATGGCCACTATTGAAGGATTTGCTGCTCCAAAGGTTATAAGAAGGTCTCCCAGTGGGGTTGACCTATTGTATTAATTTGTCATGCAAGATTTGATTTACATTACAGTTGTTATTTACGAACTCCGTGTTTACATGATGTATTAAATGATTTATGTTCATTATATCGTTATGACACACTGTTTCTCAGGAAAGGATCAATCTTGCAGGCTGGTGATAGCTAGTCTTGAGGGTTATACTACTATAAGAAAATATAGTAAGAAAGCCTCTTGGTAGGTTGGTATGAAATTTTTATTTGGATTTGCTATAGTATTGGTGCGTTTGTTTGCATTGACATGGATTTGGCTTGATGATTAATATTACCAGTGTCATGATTACTGTGCTCACACGTGGACAGACATAACTATTTTATTTTGTGTTTGTTGGTGATATATAGAACGTCATATTTGTATTTGATGAAAGAGTATCTTAGTATGAATGAGATATGTGTGATCTTTAGTATACATAAGTTAATATTATTTTGATAAAATAACTAAAAAAAAATCTCACGTGTTGTATTATAATTTATATAATTGCTGCACTTTTCAGAAAATATTGCTTTAAATCTTTGAACTGTGTCATTCTTGTTTTAATGTCCAAATTTTTTTTTTCAAGAGCGTTTAAATTATATATTGTTCTTTGTATTTGCTGAGAAGAAAAGTAATCATTTTTTCCAGTTGGTGGTATGCACTAAAGAACTACATCTTCAGCTATTTGTTTTAGTTGAGTTACTTTATAAATTAATACATTAACTTTCTAGTTTTAGGAATATCAGTGTATAACAATCTACCTAAAGTAACGAATAAATATGTATAAATAAACAATTATAACATAAATAAACAATATATACAAATGAGATGAATTATTACTAATAGAGAAAAACAGAAATCCTGTATAAAGCCCAATATGGTAAAATTTAAATGTTGCATGCTCGGTTTGATTGAGTCTGTTCATAGACGGTACTGGTAATTGATTGCAATTACCGTCCACGCCCCCCGCCAAGCACCGACTTAAGCAGAATTCAACATTTAACAAAAAATGGTAAGATTTTGATTTTTGAAACATCTGCAGATGTGTTCATATATGGCAGTTATTATGGAACCTTCAATACCTTTCTATGAAACTCGATATTTTCTTATTATATCTCAAAAATCAAATGTTATCTATGAAAGATACTTATAGATCTACCAGATATATGCACAAATGTATCCAAATCATATACAATTTTCAATTCCAAATAACTAAACACTTTTAATATAAAGTGGTCCGAATCTTCATTAAAAAAAGTGGGGCGAATCGTCAGTGGAGCGAATCGTTATCGGTAAGAGTAATCTTTCTTTGCTTTGATGCTCTTCAATTTTGACATTTCGGAAATAAAAATAAAGAAAATTCTTATTACAATTATTGATTTGCAAAGATAAGTAAATGAGTAATTAGTGCGGCAAGGACTGAATGACAATTCCGAATAATTTACGAAACAAGATTGCAGAGATTCTGCTACTAAATTGTTTAGCGTGTAGTGAAATGCTGTTTAGAAATGGCTGCCAAAACAAAATCCTCCCGGCTTCAGAGCGAAATAGAAAAATGTCGTGTTGAAGGTCTTTGGACTAAGGCTTTAGAATTGATCAAACAGTTTTCATCGAAAAACACAGCACTTGGTAGGTTTTGGAAAACATCTTGCTCGTTGCCAGACTAAGGGCGAAGCCTGAGTCCCTTTTCTGGTTTAGATAATCATTAGTCCAACTAATTGTACTGCGCGACGAGAAATTGTGCTATTTTCGTGTCTGGGCAATATCTCGCCTCTACAATGCGAGATTCTGCCCCAGAACGAAAATATCTCAGAATCAAGCTTTGGCACGTCAATATATTTTGACTAGATAATTATCTGATCATGTGGTATTTCTATCCACAAGTTTTCGGTTACTGTGCAAAAAGCAAAGCAACGTTATATTTATACAGGGCTCAAGCAACTGGGCAATTTGAGCAGCTTAGTAGTTTGTGAAATTTGTCGAGTTTGAACATCAAACTCATAGTGAAACCGACTTTGTCGAGCTTTTTACTTATTGTACAGTATGTAATTAAATGTTGTATGGATCTTTACATACTGAATCTCAGTGCCTGACAATAAATAGAATTCTCACCTCTGGACATAAACTTACACAAGTTACTGCCAATAATTGACTGCAATTAACACATTTATGTCATGATATGCAAATCCATTGGACAGAAGAGGCGCATATCATCGCCTTGCAGTGATTTTTTTCACTTAATTGGGAAGAGGCCTTAGCCTCTTGATTTTGGGAAAAAATGTCGCTAAAATTGCTAATTTGGGAAGAAAAAAGCGGGTTTCAGTTAAGATTTTTGGGAAAACTGCATGATTTTAAAGAAAATTTCAATTGGGAAGAGGCCTTTTATCGGAGTCTGTAATATAAGCAGGAAAATCACTGCCTTGTTCCAGTCAAACCCTTTCATCAATATCAAGAGATGGGCATATCGTTGGGTTGTTCTGGTCAGACCCTTTAACTCAGAGTTATGGCCCATAAGAAGTCATGCAGTATGCTTATAGAGCAAAAATCATTTCCGCGCTACTTCTCTGCAACTACGGGCTGGAATTCAACAAAACTTTATGGGAACCTTTAATACTAAGAGGAGATGCGCATATCATCGCCTTGTTCCGGTCAGACAATTTAACTCAGAGTTATGGCCTGCTATTAGTTATGCTGTATGCATATAGAATAATATTTGTTTCCGTGCTACTTCGCTGCAACTACTGGCTGGAATTCAATGAAACTTTATGGGAACCTTCAATACCAAGAGAAAATGTGCATATCGTCACCTTGTTTCCGTCAGACACTTTAACTCATAGTTATGGCCTGGGATTAGTTATGCAGTATGCATATAAAGCAATAATTGCTTCCATGCTACTTCTCTGTAGCTACTGGCTGGAATTCAATGAAACTTTATGGGAATCTTCAATACCAAGAGGAGAAGCGCATATCGTCGGCTTGTTTCGGTCAGACACGTTAACTCAGAGTTATGGCCCTTGATTAGTTATGCAGTATGCTTATAGAACTATTATCCTTTCCGCGCTTTTTCTCTGCAACAATGGCTTGAATTCAACAACTCTTTATGGGAATCATCAATATCAAGAGATGTGCATATCGTCGGCTTGTTCCGGTCAGACCCTTTAACTCGGAGTTATGGTCCTTAATTAGTTATGCAGTAGGCATAAAGAGCAAAAATCGTTTCTGCGCTACTTCTCTGTAACTACTGAAGAGGAGATGCACATATTGTCGCCTTATTTTGGTCAGACACTTTAACTGAGAGTTATGGCCCTTGATTAGTTATGCAGTATGCATATAGAGCAATAATCGTTTCCGCGCTACTTCTCTGCAACTACTGGCTGGAATTCAACGAAACTTATTGGGAACATCAATATCAAGATGAGATGTACATATCTGACATTGGCTTGTTCCAGTCAGACACTTTAACTCAGAGTTATGGCCCTTGATTAGTTATGCAGTATGTATATAGAGCAAACTTTATGGGAACCTTTAATACCAAGAGGAGATGCACATATCATCGCCTTGTATTGGTCAGACACTTTAACTCATAGATATGGCCCTTGATTAGTTACGCAGTATGCATATAGAGCAATAATTGTTTCCATGCTACTTCTCTGCAACTGCTGGCTGGAATTCAACTAAACTTTATGGGAACCATTAATACCAAGAGGAGATGTGCATATTGTTGCCTTGTTGAAGTTGTTCAGACAAGACCCTTCATTACAGAGTTATGGCCCTTGATTAGTTATATCGTATGCATATAAGGCAATATTGCTATTTGTTTGCAACAACTGTATTGATTTCAACAAAACTTTATGGCAACCATGGATACAAAAAGGCAATTTACATCTCATTGGCATGTCCAGATATTACTATTTAACACAGAGTTATTGCTCTGTTATTGCCCTGAATATTTATCATGTAAAAAGAATATTACTGTTTATGCCATGATAAATCTATAAATAAAGACTTAAAAATGTCTTCAGATGTTGTGTTAGTAATAGCCAGTACTCGGTGGGGGATATAAATTCCACGAATTTGCTTGTTAAGTTTAGTGTTTACATCCTGAATTGGTCTTACTACGGTCATATAAAAACTGGTGGTTCTTTTGAGACAGGACCCAATTAACTTGATCAGTAATTGGGAATGCATCTTATTAAACATAGTTTATACATTCAAGTTAGACATTCAGTAAGAATTTCCTAGATTTCAATAAATTTCTGTAAAAAATTTTTTTTATCAAAAGTGGTGCATAGTACATCTTTAAATCTTGCAATGTCAGGATTACCTCAATTACAGATTACTATGTGCATTTTATCTTGGGAGAAAGTTACTTGGAAGCTTATGCAAAAGAGCAAAAGGTATCAGAACAACATGCTACACCAGGCTCTCCACAAGAGAAGGACAAGTTAGCAGATGCTGAGAGACATTTGAAAGTTGTGCTTAAAGAAAATGGAAAGGTAATTTAGTATTTCAGTGCCAACTAGTGCATTAGTTACTAGGGATTAAACGATGATTGAGTGTAATAGAAAATTGATCGTTTATAGGACCAATTGGCGATGATGAAATACAAAGTTAATTAATAATCGGTTATCGGTAATTCATTTTCTTGCTGTTACCTAAGTGACTCGTTGTATTATAACAACTCTCTAAGTTAAAGCCAGCTTTGGTTGAAACAAGAATTTTCATTCAAATGAATATGAAAGCATAGTGGTGACCATGGAGTTAATAGTAGACAGTGAGGCATTCTAGTTTAAAGATATACTATGCTCAAATTTGACATTAGAAAATATTTAGAATTGCTACCCAGACTATTTGTAAGTATAAAATAAACATGTTTTGACTTCACACAAAGAAGATATGTTATGTGTAAAATTATTCTACACACTAAAGGTGGTTACAATATCAAAATATAGTGTCATTAAAAAACCTGGCATTTTTTTTAAGAAAGGACCAACTTAACTTGTTCCCATTCATAGTTTATTCATTCCTTTATTGGAATTGAGACATACTAGTAATAATTTCATAGATTTTAATGAATTTATTTGATTAAAATATTTTACTCAAGGATAGGCATAGTATATCTTTAAACTAGTTTATTTCAGTTGATAAAGAGGTAGTTACACAAAACATAGAATATTAATGGAATTCATATAAATATTAAAGCATGATATGTACATTGTACATAATTATTTACTTTGTTATTATCCCCCACCGCCGAAAAAGTCTCCGTCCGTCCGTCCGACCTTCCGTCCGTCCGTCCGTCCTTCCGTCCGACATTTTTGTCCGCAGCATATCTCTAAAAGTATTTGAGTTATAAACTTGAAACTTCATAGGTGGATAGACCTCATTGAGGAGGAGTGCAGTGCATAAGAATGATAACTCTACCCTGCATAATTTTTGAGTTATTGCCCTTTGTTATTTTTCAAAATTGATTTTTGTCCAGAGCATAACTCCAAAAGCCTATGAGATATCAACATGAAACTTCATAGGTGCATAGATCTCACTCAGGAGGTGTGCAGTGCACAAGAATGATAACTCTACCTTTCATAATTTTTGAGTTATTGCCCTTTGTTATTTTTCATACTTAATTTTTCACCTGAGTGGAGCATAACTCAAAAGTGTTTGAGATATCAACATGAAATGTCATAGGTGGATAGATCTTATTGAGGAGGAATGTTGTGCGCAAGAATGATAACTCTTCCCTATACAATTTTTGAGTTATTGCCCTTTGTTCTTTTTCATGCTATTTTGTCCAGGCTTATCTCAAAAAGTATTTGAGGTATCAACTTGAAACTTCATAGGTGGATGGATCTCATTGAGGAAGAGTGCAGTGCACAAGAACGATAACTCTACCCTGCATAATTTTTGAGTAATTGCCCTTTTTTTATTTTTCAAAATTAATTTTTGTCCAGAGCATAACTCAAAAGGCCTTTGAGATATCATTATGAAACTTCATAGGTGCATAGATCTAACTCAGGAGGTGTGCAGTGCACAAGAATGATAATTCTACCTTTTATAATTTTTGAGTTATTGCCCTTTGTTATTTTTCATACTTAATTTTTCAATTCAATTTTTTTCTCAAAAAGTATTTGAGGTATCAACTTGAAACTTCATAGGTGGATAGATTTTCCTGAGGAGGGATGCAGCACACAAGAATGATAACCTACCCTGCATTATTTTTCAGTTATTGCCCTTTGTTATTTTCAGCCATCAGTATTCACATAGGTTTCAAATCTGTAATCACTATAGCCATCAGTTTTCATTACCAAAAGACCTCTTAAAATGGAATTATTCTGCTCTACTACATATACATTCTTCCAATGAGCAAACACATTTGGCGGGGGATGGCCATGTTGACATGGCTCTTGTTGTAAATGTTTTGATTATATAATTGATGATTGATCGAAAAGGGATGTTTGATTATTTTCGATGATCCATTATGATTTTTGTCCGATTAAGAAACCCTATTAGTTACTATTGTCTACTCTTTATGAAAGAAATTAAGTTATATGCAGTTTAAATAGTATAACACTAAGGTGGTCAGTGAACTTTTTTGATACTGCAATGTTTTGAAATTTGTGATACAAAAAGTTTTTGACCTAACTGATTTTTTTTTTCATATTAAAATTTTGAAAATTTGGGTAAAATTTTTATAGCTTTAATATGACCAGTTCTTTGTTTTCGAATTGTTTATTAGAACATGATGTGTATAATTTATTCTTTGGATTAGGTTTTTATTCTCCTTAATCAGAGAATAAGAGGTCATTTAAGAGGTCATGGGGTCAAAGGTCAAGGTCACCAGTGTCAAGGTCCCCCCGGAGGCATGGTGTTTATTCAAATGTAGCACTTGTTTAGTGGTGTTTTGCTTCGAATTGAGAATGTACATGTTTGGTGTTTGCCTGATTAACATGTATTTCTCTCTATACAAACATTGATTAACCTTAAAAATGCAGAAAAAACAGGTTGAGCATTTACAATAATAACTACCTTTGACAATGCTGTTTTATATCAGGAATTTATGTCTAAAAATTTGAGAAAAAATATTTTATAGATATGTGTATTTGTTTCAGATGCACTTAGAAGCTACTCTATTGCAAGCAAAGGTCCATTTTTACCAGTGTTCATACCAATCGGCCCTGACTATGTATGAGCATGCAAACTTGGATACAGTAACGGTGTCAGGTTCATCACCCAGGGTTCTTCATATTATAGCAGAAGCCTATGCAATTAAAGGTAATGTTGTATATTAAAACTGTTATTTTTTAGCCATTTGTTTTGGATTAGTTGTTCCGGTTAGGTGGTTTCCTGCTTACATTAGTTAGTGCACGATTGAACGGGAAACCAGCTGCAATCATGCCCTTTCCGTCACTCTTCGGATTAATGATAATAGCCGAGGAAGTTCCGATTGCAATTGTGACAATTCGGGCGATTCCGTCATACTGCGGAATCAGACGAAGAAATATTACGGAAATCTTAGCTATTTTAGTTACTTCGGTAACCCCAGTTTGTTTATATAAATAGGATTTCTATTTTTACTTGATTCCGTTTCAGTACTTTTTCAAGACGCAAAAGTTAGTTTCTTTTATAATTGGTTTTTGTCTTTATTAGTTTTATACAATAGAGAATGGTTACTGTAGTAGTATTCCGTCTCCAAAGGGCGGTCCTGCTTACCAAAAGATCGTGACCGAATCACGTAGAATATTAGTGCATGATCAAGTTATATTTAGATCTACTGACAGAGTTTAAACGTCTTGGTGAGGTAATCTAAAAAAAGCCCATGCATATCATGAACCTTACCACGTGCTGATCTCCTGTGTTGTCGATCATAGATATTTAAGGTGTAACATAGTTGATACATGCTTATTAATTGGTACCACGTCACGAAGTCTTTTAGTGCATTTACTTGTCTTTAAAGCTGCTATATAAATGAAATTAGCAACTGCCAAAACGAATGACTCTCTCTGCGAAAAAAGTGGAAATGAAATGTTCACACTTGTTTCCCTTCGGTATGATAGATTGATCTCCATGTGAGAGCCAATGTTAGTATTTTTACGATTGATTATTTTCTTTATTAGTTTTATACTATAGAGAATAGATTTCGAATCGTTTTTGACAAAAAAATATTCGTTTTTACAAAAAAGTTGCTACTGTTATCGCCAGCATGATCCCGTTCAGTTATAATCAGTGGACTTCTGGTCCCTATTTGGTCCAAATTTGCACGCATAACACTGGTGCTCAAACAAATGGGCACAGGTGCTCGTCCAGTCTTGGGCTTACCCTACCTATCCCTTTAAAAGTGAAACTTTTTTTTCGAGAAAAAAAACTAAATAAACCCTTTATGATATACAAATGCCGTAATTCAAAAAAAATGTTATAATAAATTGAAACAAAAAAAAAATTGTAAAGGGAAGGGATGATGGCACAACTGAGCAAGCCTTTCCTTTTAAAAGGAAACTTTATTATTTAATCACGTGAAATTGCTTGTTTTCATTGTAGTATAACCAATACATAGGGTTTTTCTTCATAATAAAAATCAGAGACAGTCCATTTAACTTGACTGAAATCACAAAAGAAGAGAAGATTTCATGATTTAAAAAAAACAAACACACTTAAAGATATACTATGCTGATCTTTGAGAGTAAATTATTTTTATTGCAGAAATTATTGAAATTTTAATATGTCTTATTTAAATAAAAGAACATACAAAGTACGTATGGGAATCTGCATTCCTTACTAAGGATCAAGAAAAGTTGGTCCTTTGGTTGACTACACATGTATATATTCATAGTGTGTCCACTTACAGTGTATAGGATTTAAAGCATAACATATCTACTAAATGTACTTTGTGTGAAGCCAAAACATGTTTTTATTATATTGACAAAAAAAAACTTTGTAGCAATTATCAATATTTTCAAATATCAAATTTGAGGAAACTATATCTTTAAGCTCATTTGGATTGTGTACAGTAAGGGAGATAAGCAAGGGAGATAAATTTAACCAATTGTTGTTACACTGTCTATCAATCTTGCAGTAAAATAGAAAATCTATATTGTACATGTCTGTCTAGGACTTTGTTTGGAAAAGCTGCCCACTAGCACTACAAGTAAATTTAAGGCTGCAGAAAAAGAGGATAAAATCTTGTCGTGTTTCGAGATGGCCGGAGATCTTTGTCTGTTGTACCTACAGGTAAGTCAGTTATTGATTTTTTTTTTTTGGTACAGATATTTATATGATTTTGATAATAAAAATAATTATTTGATTTGCGCTTTGTCATCATTAACTTATTGCGGTAATTTTTCTATAATTCTTCTGATACACAAAGTTTTATTACAGTAATTACTGTATATGGTAATTGGTTATTTCCAAGAAAATTCCAATAAATTACAGGATTTTATTAAGATAAAAAAGGATGCTTGTAATTATTATACAAATTGGATACTCCCAGCGATTATTTGTAAATATCATAGGTTTATTGTTATAAAAAAAATTCTTTGTGGTAGTAAAAGTGAAATAATGTTATCAATTGTACTACATTTTCTTTATTTTACATCTTCATTTTATATAGCCCAAGTCCTTATATGTTTATTAAAAGTACATTTGGATAAAAAGTTAGATTTTACTTTACAGAATTCTGACATTGAGAATTCGTTGACCTTGACCTGTAAGATTAAATATTATACTCTTAAAAAAAATGATCAACAAATAAAATAAAATGAAAAATGAATTTATAACTATTATAAAATTTTGATTTTTTTTTTTTTTACAATTTTTGACAATTTCATTATTGTAAGTGTCTTTTTTGTAACCTCTTTCCTGATTAAATGTATAATTTTATGGCCTGGCATTATAACCGCAAAAAATAGACATGTAAGTTATAAGTACAAGAAAAACTCATTTATGTACTTATATTGACTTAGTTAGCTCAATAAGTACAGCATTGGACTGTGAATTGGACAACCTGGTATGATTCCTGTAAGTTGCAGGTCACTTTTGTTGTGATTGATCATAAAATACTTTCTTCAGTCATTTGCACTGTACCTCTGCTTTGCTTTGCACTGTCTGACTTGTGTCTGGTAAAATTCAGTGTGGCTTACAGCGTGATCCTACTATCTACCAACATTACCACCATCTGGGTGGTTATTACTAGATTTTTCAGTCAATACTGGTCAATGAAGATCAATATTTGAGCCGTGTCACGACAAAACCAACATAGTGCGTTTGCGACCAGCATGGATCCAGACCAGCCTGCGCATCTGCGCAGTCTGATCAGGATCCATGCTGTTCACTTACCAACCCTATTACAAGTAGAGAAACTGATAGCGAACAGCATGGATCCTGATCAGACTGCGCGAATGTGCAGGCTGATCTGGATCCATGCTGGTCGCAAACCCATTATGTTGGTTTTGTTGTGACACGGCTCATATATAAAAAACTTTGTATAAATTTCAGGAGAAAGAGAAGACTGTACAGTCCTGGGGTCCTGTACCACTGACAGAGCCAGAGGAGAGTAATGTGGGAGATATACTAGAAACTGCCATACAACAATCTCCCATCTATTATATTAAACACGGGTTTGTATTTGCTTCCTTTATACATGTTGAAATTGTTAGTTTTATTTGCAATGAAAAATTAAAAATACATTTTCGGGCTTTGGGTTTAAATCACACCAACAGTTTTTCTGTTTGAGAAAGACCTCCCAGGCCACATGAGGCCCCTCCAATTTAAGACCTCCCAGGCCACATGAGGCCCCTCCAATTTAAGACCTCCCAGGCCACATGAGGCCCCTCCAATTTAAGACCTCCCAGGCCACATGAGGCCCCTCCAATTTAAGACCTCCCAGGCCACATGTCTCAGGCCCCTCCAATTTAAGACCTCCCTGGCCACATGAGGCCCCTCCAATTTAAAACCAAGATGGACAAAATAAGAAATAAAAACCTTTTGCAAGTTAGCTGGATAGCTTTTGCTATTGAAACCATTTAGGCACTGGCAGGAGTTGAACCTTGAGTGACGAGGGGAGTGATTCACTTCGTGTAGTCAAACAGAATTCCCATTTGATTGAAAGTCATCATGCTTGACATGAAATGGCATGTCAGAATACTTTAGTAGACATGAAATTTAATGCGTAAATTTTCAGTGATTTCATTCTAAACATTGACATTTTGGCTGGTAGACTTAAGGGCTTCCAATACATTCAGTAGCATTCTTCTTGTTTAAACTGTTGATGTTTTCTTAGTAAAGAGAGATATAAACAGGTAGAGAAATCTAATTTTGGTACTAGTAATATATGTTCTTTACCACGGCAACTTAATATTAGCAAAATTCTGCATCCTTGTATGCGTGAAAGTTTGTTTCCCCAAAAGGGCAGTTCGCAAGAAAAACTCAAAATATTATATCTGCGAAAGTTTCTAGGAATACATTATTGTGAATTTGGAATGGTTTTAATTTAAATTGCTTAAAACTTACAGGAAGGTCTCCATTCTGCATTATAATGTTCAATTATTTGTTCTACAATGTGTTTCTGCTTGTATAAGATACATTTAGAGCTTACAGTATTGATTATGACTGGCATTACCCTTCTGTAGTTCCATATCATCAACTTAATGCAGTAACAGGTTAAATCCTATTAAATTATGTCTAGAGTAAACCTATTACTGCACTAAAAGGACGAATATTATGTTTGCATTTTTGATGTCTTAACCAGTACTCAAAATAGTGTGGACTGTTAAAGTCAATGGATAATCTTGCCTCTTATGGGGATCAAACCATTGGCCTCAGGATCAAGAATCTTGCAGTCCACATTCACCACTTTTTTTGCCTGTCTTATTTTATCCAAATTTTTGCTAGAACCTAAATGTGTTTTAGAAATGTTAACTTTTACAGACATAAATATTCGTAGAAAGTGTCAATGGATTATAGTGATTATTCATTCAACAGTTTTTCAATGTTATTCATATAGATATAATTTGGCATTTCAGAGAATTGGAAAAAGGTGTTAAACGATTCCGAGAATTACTCAGTGCGGTGGAATCACGATATACTCAACATTTGAGACTGGTGAGATTATTGTCTGTTATTGATTTCAATATGATATTGGACAGTTTAGTCATAGAACTCAGCATATTTCAGTCCATATTCCAAGTTCTGTGTGTCCGCATTGATTGCTCAAGAGGAGTTTTGTTTTGTGTTTATCTGTCTACAGGCAACATTTGCCCTTTGTGTTGCCAAATTCAATGTTTTACGCCCTTTACTCATATATGACTAAAATGGACCCCTTCCATAATGAAACCCCTGTTTTGTTATATGGACCCCCAACATTTTGTAACAAGAGTCCCTGGTACCCTCAAAATGTGTATTACACATGAAAACCCTGTTAAATTTAGCTGTATCATTCTTATTCTTTTAACTAGAACCTTCTTACTTGCTTGGCATAGCATGTCTAGAATAAAACTTCGTTTTGACTTAATCTGACCTTGACCGAAAAATGATCTTGACCCTCAAGGTCAAATGTGAATAATTCAGGAAATTTCCTCACAAGTTTGTTGTTAATTACAGCTTGGAACAGTAGAATTTCTGTTCAATGAATACACTTGTTGATTTTACTTCAATATTTATCCTTCTTTGATAAAAAACTGCTTGCCTCATGTCCACTTAAGCACTTATTATATTCCAATTTATTTTCGCATTAAAATGAAATGTACCTATTTTGCTATTTCCATTTGTTTATGATAAAATTTCTGCTTTGTTACAAAACTGAATTAAATCAGACCAGATTGCTTGAATTAGGATATTAATATTTTGTTTGTAGTTTTCTTTTGAATTTGACATGTGTGTTCCGTTTTGTCGTTTCAGACATTAGCACGCCAATTAGCAGAAGTTTTACTAAGAGGTGTTTGTGAGAGTTCATATGTCTGTCCAGATCCCGTGTTAACAAACAACAACACTGCAAGACAGACGGGACTTTCTCCAAGGAAATACACATCCGACAAGTATATTTTAGCTTTAAGACTTCTTTTGATTGATTTCAACACTCATTTTCTCGTCTTGAATTATTATTGCAGTTTGCAGATAAACCAAACATGTTAAATTATTAATATCAAAAGTAAGTAATGAATGAATGAATCAATCAACATCCAAATCAATCAGTGGATAAAAGAATAAATGATTACATGAATGACTGAATCAATCAATTAATTGGTCACTGAGTGAATGAATCAATGAATGAATTAGTCAATGAATAATTAAAGGAATAAATGAATGAAACAATGAATTAATCATCTGCAAAGAAGCAAATAAATAAATATAAAAAAAATAAAATTAAATAAAAAAGTAAATTAATAAATCAAATGCTATGACAAAAGACAATGTAGTAATCATGTCAATAATCATTCAATAAAAAAGACCAAATTGAAGACGCGACCCCTTTATAAATTTTTGTCTTTCAAAATATGTGTTGTATGTCTAGGATTTAAAGTAACTGATAATGAATATGTATGTACATGTATTTCAGAGTATTTGTGCCATGTAATGAAAGTGAGGAAGCCCTATTGTTGTTACTGATAGCAGAGGCAGTGGTATGTAGTGGCTTTTGTAGTAGAGAATAGGCATTCATTTCGAATTGCTGTTTCTTTTCATTACTGATTCTTTTAAATCCTTTATCTTACAAATATTACTGGTAAACAAGTATGATTAGAAAATTGGAAATAATTCATTCTTCAGAAATAGGCTCTTCATAGCCAGAACTGGATTCTGTTCAGCCAAAACTGGCCTTGAGATTATAAAACTTTTTTCTGAGGTCTGTCTCAAATCTCAGGGTTTTCATTGGTCAGTGAACATTGTGTGGCAGTTTCCTACCAATCAAATTCCTGAGATCCGAGTTGAGTTTGAGCTTAGATAATTTGTTTATAACCTTGGACCTTGGACTCTGTTCAGCTATCTTTAGTTTTGTTTCATGACAGCTAAATGTTTTACACTCCACATATACGATAAGTTTTTTTTTTGCTTCAAAATGTTTTAATTTTGCAACCTTTATGAATGAGTTGTATATGTGTATTTTGAATAACCCAACTGTCAATTCATAATTATGCTACTATTAGAATTATTTTCATCATTTCGATGGTTAGATATTTTGATAGTAATCAGAAATATATTAATGTTTTCTCAAAAAAAAATGCAAATAGTCAATTGCATTTTTCACAATGGAACTTTCATGCAAACTTTTAGAACAACCCTCATTTTAACCAATATTTACTACATGTATATAGGCATCAAGGGAAGCAATTCTGAACAGGACTGTTGAGCACAAAGAAGGCAGACTTCATACATTCCAAAATGCATCCGCAGTATTTGATCTTCTTGCCATAGCATTAGTGAAGAGGGCACAGTTCCATAAACTTGCAGATGTGAGTACATGGTCAATGATAACATTCATGTGTTTTATTCCTTATTAATGTATTTATGGAGAGTACTACTTGCTCCTAACCAAGCTGTGGGTACGAATCCTGACAGGGACTTTGGATCCTTATATGTAGGAAGCTATCCAGATAGATTATGGAACGTAATTATTGTCCCTTGTATTGAAGAGCCATGCCACAAGATAATAAAAAATCTTAAAAAATCAAACTTTTGAAAGATATAGCTATAATTAAAAAAAAAAATATAGATATTTACAACTCTGATATTATGCAAATTACATGTTTGATAGAATTTACTGTTTTTATCACCAGAACTACACCCTGTTACTGACCTTATAAGATAAACTGTGCCAAATTTTGACAAAATATATGTAAATTCTGTTGATGATGTAATTTCTGTTAATGATGTAATTTTTTTGTTGATGATGTAGCTTAGGCTAAGTTAAATCACATAATTTGTACGATTTACTAAAAAATTACCTATTGCTGCTTTAAAGGGACTCCACTGAAGTTTTTTTTTACATGACTGGACTAGATATCATTGTTCAAGATTAATGTTCACTTGTGTGCATGTCTTAGTGTTTTAAGTTATCAAAAATTTTTTTTATCAGAATTAATGTTTATATTGCAGACATTAGAACATGCAATGAAGTTTTCATTTGAAGAATATCATATATGGCATCAGTTTGCAAATTCCCTCATCTGTGATAAACAGGTAAAGTTTTAATTACCATATATAGCATATTATTGTATTTATTGTGGGATAAGCTAATTCCGGCTTTTTAAACCCTTAGTCTGCTAGCAGGGATTAGAGTACTCATGCAACCACTGCAGACCAAGATCAGACAGTACATCCATGCTTGCTGATCATAGTTTGCACTGCTCACAATTTAGTCAGTATATACATTTGAATTTTACCCAAAATTTGTTTGTTGAAATTTCAGTAAAAATTGTTCAGATTTTATGAGTAATGTACAATGGATAAAAAAGTGGAATAGTCTTTATAATGCTAGTAATTTTTAGCTTGACCTTAAATTGACATTGAATGTCAAGGTGAAATTAATGAAATTCTTTTTTTTTTCTGTAACTGGCTTTAACTTTGTTATTCATAAATGAATTAAATTGATATTAAGATACAACATCTCTTAGGTCAGGACCGTCATGCATATCAAACTCAAATTGACCTTGACTCATGTATGACCTTGAGTTTGAAGGTCAAATTATATTATTTTCATTGATATCGCTATAATTTGCTGTAACTTAGTAATTCATCAATGGATTATTTTTATATGTAAACAAATCAAACTTTTGGACAAAACATTCTGAAAGGTTGAACTGATATTGACCTTTAAATGACCTTGACCATCATTGAATTTTGATTATATTTTCTTTACTTTGTAAATTATTTATGGAAAGTATTCTTACTTGGACAAAACAACAAGTGTGACTCAACAAAAAAAGGAAAGACTTATTTTTTCTTTTATATATTTTTCTTGTTATATTTTATCCTAAACATTTGCCCTTATCAATTATTGGTAATTCAGCTCAACTTTTCAGCAAAAATAATGAGCACAATGTCACTTTAATATTTTACATTCTATTAATATCCTCCTTGGTCGAGGGGTTAGAGTCGATGACTTCTAATCCAGTTACCTCTCTGGCGTGGGTTTGATCCCCGGGAGATGCTTTGGTAGTTTAGCACGGAGGAAGGTCGTCTAGTACTGGTGTAACTCTCCAGGAACGATGGTTAGTAAACTACCCGCCTATATGACTGAAATACTGTTGGGAAAAGGCGTAAAATGAAACAAACAAACAAACAAACATTTATATCCTAGACAAATTTTGATTGTTATATTTAAGACAAGGGAGGTAATGAACATACATGCATTTTTGTAATTATGCTGTTTGTGAAAAAATGTTTGTTTATTGATATTTTCAGTATGAAAGAGCCCTCCAGGTATTAAAGGAGTGTCATAGATTGAGACCTAAACTTGTTATTCCAGTATTACAGGCAGCAAAACTATGTTATGAACATCTACATAAGGTAATTACATGTACAGTTTTATACTGTCTGCATAAAATAGTGAGTCATGCTTTTTACACCTTTCTTACACAGCAAATTGATTACTTAGTCATAGTAATACATGTAGATTGTTGGGTATCATTAGCTTGTTTAATGCCTTTTAAGCGCTTATCAGGGTTATTTAGGAGCATAGTAAGAGGTCCCTTTTCAATGCCCATAACTCCATCATGGTTTTTTGACAGAATTATAGCCCTTCTTGAACTAAAAAAGGCTTAAGGCTCTAGTTTAAGCACTGAAAAAAGTTGAGCATAATGTCTTATCAACAGCTCTTATTGATTTTCAAATTCTAAATTTTTTATTTTTACAGTATGACGAAGGTATCGAGTTTGCAAAGCTTGCCCTTGAAGCAGGTGATGAACATCCAGCTGCGTCACGTGTGCACGTGGCTCTAGGTATTGGTCATAGTCTGAAAGCTGCAGAGATGAAATTGAAAGCTGATAGACAGGCTCTTCATAATAAGGCACTCAGGGCTTTCCAAAAGTAAGTTTGTATAGTAAATGAAGTATAACTCTTTAATATTTTGATATTTTTTAGCTCACCTGAGCACGAAGTGCTCAAAGGTGAGCTTTTGTCATCACTCTGCGTCCGTCGTGCGTCCTTCAAAAAATGGCGTCAAACTTTTCAAACAACATCTCCTCCTAAACTACATGGCCAATTGCAATCAAACTTTACAGAAATGATCCTTAGGTGGACCCCTTTCAAAGTTGTTCAAAAATTTAAATTCCATTAAAAACTCTGGTTGCCATGGCAACCAATAAGAAAAACTTAAAAAATCTTCTTCTAAAAAACCCTAAGAGCTAGAGCTTAGATATTTGGCATGAAACATCTTCTAATGAGTGCCTACCAAGTTTGTTCAAATCAAAGCCCTAGGGTCAAAATTGGCCCCGCCCCAGGGGGTCATTGATTTTCCCTATATGCATATAGTAAAAACTTAAAAAATCTTCTTTTAAAGAACTCAAAGAGCTAGAGCTAAGATATTTAGCATGAAAGATGTTCTAATGGGTGTTTACCAAGTTTGTTAAAATAAAAGCCCTGGGGTCAAAATTGGCCCCTCCCCGGGGGGTCATTGATTTTCCTTATATGTGTATAGCAAAAACTTAAAAAATCTTCTTTAAAAAAACCTAAATAGCTGGAGTTTAGCTATTAAGCATGAAACATCTTCTAGTGAGTGTCTACAAAGTTTGTTCAAAGAAAAGCCCTGGGGTCAAAATTGGCCCCGCCCCAGGGTGTCTTTGATTTTCCCTATATGCATATAGTTAAAACTTAAAAAATCTTCTTTTAAAGAACCCAAAGAGCTAGAGCTAAGATATTTAGCATGAAACATCTTCTAATGAGTGTCTACAAAGTTTGTTCAAATAAAAGCCCTAGGGTCAAAATTGGCCCCGTCCCCGGGGGTCATTGATTTTCCCTATGTGCATAAAGTAAAAACTTAAAAATCTTCTTTTAAAGAACTCAAAGAGCTAGAGCTAAGATATTTAGCATGAAACATGTTCTCATGGGTGTCTACCAAGTTTGTTCATATAAAAGCCCTGGGGTCAAAATTGGCCCCGCCCCGGGGGTCATTCATTAGCTCGACTTATATATATACATATATATTAATATATATATATATATATATATATATATATATATATATATATATATATATATATATATATGTATATATATATATATATATATATATATATGTAAATATATATATGTATATGTATATATATATATTTACATATATATATATATATATATATATATATATATATATATATATATACATGTATATATATATATATATATACATGTATACATATACAACCAAGTTTGTTCAAATAAAAGCCCTTGGGTTTAAACTGGCCCCCGCTCCAGGGGCCTATATACAGGTGAGCAACTTTGGGCCATCATGGCCCTCTTGTTTAATGTTGGTATCGTTATTGTTATTGTAAAAATACACCCATAAATATGAACTATGTAAATAAGCAAGCAATATTGAATGGAAACCATGAGTAATTTGTCCTAAATTGTGAGTAAAATCAATCTTGCAAATGCTTAAACAATACAAATAACTGTTTTTAAACTGCTACTTTATGTCAAGTAATTGTCTGATTTTCAAAATGCTTACTACACTGAAAAGCTTGTAAATATGAGCTTCATATCAATATAAACTTCAACATATCTTTTGACACCAAAGGTACTTCAGTTAACTGTTAATTTTTTCACCTTTCTGCCATTTTACATATGATTTATAAAGGGGCATATGCAATCAGTTATCTACTAATAAGAATTGCCAGTAATCTGCTAGGTCTGACACCGAATAATTGTTGTATTAGGAATAGAAAAAAGAACAAGGAACTGTTCTGAAAATATATTGTTTGCGTTTGAAATGTAGTCACTGTTAATTTTTCAATGACAAAGAAATTATTTGTTATGAAATATTTTTTGATGTAAACTTGATTCATGGTATGTGCAGTACCTATCCAAATAGCTAAGACTCCTCAACCTGCAGAATTTCTTAAATGAACAATCTTAGCTTTCTTTTCTAAAGATAGCAAGATGGAATTTGAGATTAGTTGTCTAACTTTGTCGAGCCTGGTCAGACTGTACAGATGTTAAGGCTGGCCTGGCTCTGTACTGGTGGCAAAGGTTAATTATTTTCAATTTCAGCATGACTAATGTTGAATTTCAGAAATTTTACAGACCTGCTTGCATGTTCCTTAGATATTGTATTAGTAAGTGCACACCAGTGACCCAATATAAATACTGGGAAAATGTATGTTGGAATATGCATGTTTTAGTAAAAGCTTCTACTATAATCAAAAAGAATGAAAAATATGATTTGAAGGCACATGTATAAGAACTGTATGTTAAATATGTATTTAAAATAAGCTATTTTTATATTTTTCAGAGCACACATCTTAGATCCCAATGATTATCTGTCATTATTTCACTTGGCATTACAAATGGCAATTTTACGACAAGTAAGTGCAGTGTTTTTAGTCCCCTGCCGGTTTAACCAGTTTAGTACATTTTTGTCAAGTTTGATTTTCTTGAAATACTTTGGCTGATCCAGAAGCGTGCAGCTTTAAGCTTTTCGGCAAAAGAGAGTTAAGAAAGATGGTAGAAGACTTATTGTCAACAACCATTTGTCAACGAAAGAATAGTTTAGTGCAGGGCTTAAGCTAATTGATTTGTTGTCTGTAGATCTAGCTCTTTCAAGAATGAGTTTTTAGTGGTGTACGTTATATTATTTTCTGGAACAATGTAGAAGAGTATTTAAGGCCTAACATTACTGAAAGCTGCAAAGATTTTAATTGATTGTTGCTTTAGAATGGTTAGATATTGTTACGGTACGGTCCAGCTATATGGTACCAGGCCCCTTTAATCCTCTTAAAAATGTGGTAACGTGCTCAAGACTTGGTGACCAATGATCGTACTGGACTGTAGAGAACGATATTGTATTTACGAACAATGAAACGATCACAAATATAACAATGTTCTATATAAAATAGAAATTGTTAGGGTTAGAGGGACTGATGATACTTGTTTCAGACGACTGTCAAAGTCTAAATATAGATCTATTTAGCTGAAATATGCTATTACGACATCTGTCAATAGTGGGCTACTCTGTATGACTCTGTATGGCTAGGACACTGTACTCCACAGTACTTGATAACACTTCCTTACTTCTGGAGGTACGCCAGTTTAAGATTAAAATTGAGTCACAAAGAAGAAAGACTGTTCACAGTTTACTAATTTTAATTAGTGTTAAACTGTTAATAAATTCAATTGTCAAATATTCAAATAACAGTATTGTAAATAACATCAACACATGTATATAATTCAGTCTTAAATATCCGATAAGCTATGTCTTACATAGACTTCACATAAATTATTACCACGACTGCCGTTTAATTTCTATTCAAAAATATGACAACGTAAATATAAAGTTTGGTCGAGTCAGTGACCGTATTAATGTGAAACAAAAATGATAAAGTTCTTATCAATTATTCTTAGACAATAATTGATTAAATGTAAAATAATAATCTAAAGACTACGTTTTATTTTGCCTTAAAAATAAGTAAAATCCGCCGTTCAGAAGAACACGACAATAATGTAGACTAACCGAAAGTTAAATGAAAACTGACTGAAGTTGATCGTTTTCTGGCCTATTTATACCAAATCTGAGAAAACGAACATAAAAAGGTTCGAAAAATGTTCAACTGTACGTTTTGGTCGGTTGACAATGTTCGACGTTCGAAAACTGAACATTTGACGTTCGGAAACGATCAATTCCATACACAAAGAACGCTGTCAACCAACCGAACGTCCGAACATCAACAATTCTTAGCTAAAGTTCTATGAAACTTTACATGAAAATACGATAAATTGATACATATAATATTTATAAAAATGACTAGTACCATGGATTGACTATAAGTCTGTTGCTTTTGATGAAACATAACTTTGAAACTGTTTGTTTACTGAGTTTAGGCAGCAATTGCTATTGACAACGGAAGTCACACAACCCATAATGCATCAGCGAACAACAACAACACCTGTCAAAGTTTACCGAGTAAAATTACAATAAATGCAACTTTCTAGCTAAATGTACGCTGATTATAAGAAAATATGTAAACAATTAATGAAATAAATCCTTACTCTTTATAAATCTGACATTATTTATAGTTGTCAGTCTCTAAAATTAACACAAAAAGTGTTTATTGGTACATGTAAAATGTAAACAATGCCGATAATGACATACGACCTGAGTAAACAAGTGAGATTATATCAATATATTATGAAAAATTGAAACTGTTGTCATAAAGAGGAAGTTGCTTTACAGGGGTACTGTATGACCATAATATTATAATAAGTGCAACATGACACTCAACTTGGCCGAGTTGTCAAGGTAGCTGACTACAAATCACTTGCCTCTCACAACTGTGGGTTCGAATCCCACTTCGGACTCCGGATCTTTCTTGTGAGGCAGCTATCCAGCTAGCTTTCAGGATATCAGTGGTTCTACTCAGGTGCCCGTTCATGCTTAAAATAATACACGAAAGGACACCTGGGTTTTTCCGCCACCAGTAAAGCTTGAAAGTCACCACATGACCTATAATGTGTAGGTGTGACGTAAAACCCAACAAAATTACTAAAAAAAACCCACTTGACTTACATGGTGGATCTGTATAAAAATTAATGCATTTGTATATATATTACAGATAGAAGATGCAGTGAGGTATACAAAGTTAGCATTAAAACATTACAGTGATCATATACACTCTCTACATCTCCTGGTCCTACTATTGACCGCACAGAAACAGTACCAAGATGCGATGGATCTCATTCATGCCGCATTAGAGGAATATCCGGACAATATCAGGTAAGATATTGATTAACAGAGTTACCTCAAAATAAAGACCACTTGTATATAAAGACCACGTCCAGTCTATCCTTTTTATGGCCACTCGCCCACAGGTTTGACTTGTATTACTTTGAGTTGGGTTGATTTACTAGTCTGTTTGCAGTAACTGGGCTGAGTCAGTTATCTTTTAATTTGTTAAATTTTTTAACTATCTTTGATATTGATGAAATATGAAATCAAATTTTAGGTTCAAATGAGTGCTAGATTTATACTTTTATCACATTCAGCAACAGTAGAAATTAAAACATGGGCTTAGACTTTTTTTGCGATGCATTTTTTCTGTTAAGAATTCTAAATGTTCAAAAATATTTATATGTTCATTAAATTTTATTCAACAGTTATTTGCAAATTTATATCTTTTCCTACAGTTTATTGTTCACAAAGTCCAAGATAGAAGAGATATTATATGGTTCCGAGGTTGCATTGAACACTTGCCAGAATATGATGAAACTATGGAAGAAGTTGGATGAAATGCACATAGAAGAGTATGTTCATGATTTCATACAGTGGGGTTTGGTGCAAAAAACTTATATCTCCTTCTACTCATTATATGAGATACAATGATTGAGCGGTGGTCCATTGGAAGGATAAATTCTTTGAAATTTGGAGGTTACTGGGTTCAAGTCATGTTTAGAGTGCAGCTTATATCCATTAGCAAAATAAATTACCCATCATTGCTGCATTTCAACCAATTCTAATGTGGACTCTAAAAAGCAAGTTTATTTTATGTTGGGGGCATCCAAGTGGTTAAACTAGCCCCTTATCACTGTGAGTTTGAATCTTGACAGTGACTTTGGATTCTTTTATGCAAGGAAGTTATCCAGTAAGCTTACGAAAATTAGTGGTTCTACTCTGGTGCATTTATGTGTCTGAAATAATGCATGGAAAGGCACCTGATGTCTTCTTCCATCATGTTCCATAAAATCTAACAAAAATCTTAACTACAAATTGGCACTTCAGCACAATTCCTTTATTTTATGGAAAAATTATATGACTTTCCAGTGAAAATCAATACAATGTGCAGTATACACAGTCAAAGTTGTATTTAGCGACCCCGCAATGGAAACCCCAAATTTTACATTTTCAAGTTACATTTCTTTAAATGTTTTTGGTTCGTCAGCAAGTTAGACTGTATATAGAATTATAGCCCTTTTGAACAACGAAAATTGTTTATTAAAGTTTTGTATGCACATCAGTCTTAAAAACTACTGAAACTACTACTTAAAAAAATCATCTTTTCTAAAACCTTATGTGCTAGAGCTTAGATATTTGGCATGAACATCATCTGAGGGATCTCTACCAGTCGGTTCTCTTTGTATACATAGTAAACAATTAAAAAAATCTTCTTCTTTGAAACATCACAGTTGGTAACAGTTCTAAGATCTAGTGTGAAAGTAAGTCATGACTAGTAGATGACCCCTATAGATTCTGTGATCAGTTGGTAAAAGGTCAAGTTCACAGTTGGTAAAAGGTCAAGTTCACAGTGGCATTTACCACTAAAATATTGTGCAACACATAACTGTAAGAATGTTATACTATTCTCACCTTGTAAAAATGTCTCTTCATGTATATGTATTTTTGTCATTTCAGAACAGACAAACGTAGTATAAAACATCTACAGAAATCTTCCCTGACAACAACAGACAGGTCACAGTTTGACAGAAAATCTCAGGCCAACCTGCAACTGCATGAGCTTCATGACACTAGTGAGTCTGTAGTCATTATACTGTAAAATCATTAATATTTGTGGGGGATTTATTTTTTGTGGATCTGGTCAGCCATGAAATTAAGTCTTGAAGAAAAAATTTAGTAATCTTCTTCCCCATTTTTCATGCAGAATGAATATATTTGTACTTATGATATATGTTTTGGCAAAATTAGGCATGTTTAAATATTTGCATTTTATATAAAGCTTGTATGGGAAAGTAGAATTTATGAAAAAATTGACTTTTAAATATATGAGTAAGTTTGAAAGTAAGTATGAAAAAATTGAATAAGAAAAAAATATGAAATAGAAAAAACTGAATAGATAGAAAATATGAAGCAATTAAATAAAATATAAGGAATTGAAACAGTTGAGTGGATAAAAATCTAAAGAAAAAGCTTAAAGGCACATTGTGCCTCAGAAATGAATAAAATTCTCACTTCTTCCTTTTTGTTTTAAATCATTTGAATAATGGTTTTAGGGAATGTTAGATGCTTGTTACATGAAGAAAGTAGTGCTTAATGTGAAATGTAAACAAAGCAGTATTTTGACTTCCATACATAATACTAAATCACTATAACTAAACTAATTGCCAAAAGCAACAGAAGCAAAAGATGGTTCATGTAATTGGCATATCATAACTTTTTTGGAAACTATAAAAACACACACAAAAATAAAGCCCCTCCTTAGAAATAAAAATATGTCTAGGGCATAATGGACCTTTAAATGAAGAGCTATGATTTTGTTCGTGTCATTTCTGCAGATTTCAGACCATATCACCTAATACTTTATCTTATTTTTATTCCAAACAGTATCAGTCCGGGCAGAATCTCTAGCGGTCTCCCGTGTGGAGGAAACCCTGTCAATTCTCGCGTCATCTAGTATCGGCGATAGTGGTGGTAGTCAAAGTTTCACAATGTCAAAGACATTAAGATTACAGGCTCAGATCTGGATGAACCTCAGTGACCTTTATCTGTCATTGGATAAAGTAGAGGAGGCGGAGTCATGTGTCCGGGAAACCGCCGCCCTCTTTCCATTGTCTCACCAGGTGGCCTACATGGTTCGTATACTCAAAATTTATTTCAAATAGTTGTCAGTCAATCATAAGAGCAGACATGGTGGTCTAGTTATTATACTGCTTGACTACAAAACCATAGATGGCAAGTTGGATTTCCGCTACTTGTGGGTCCGAGGTTATAAAAAATTACTTTAAGCTCAAACTCGGATCTTTGGTATTTGATTGATTGGAAACTGCAGGTCACAAATTTTTTCTGACCAATGAAAATCATGAGACTTGAGATGGAACTCAGAAAAAAGTTTTATTACTTCAAGGCCGGTTGTATTTTCTAACAGTCTTGCAGATGAGACATTATAAGCCATAGTCCTGTTAAATGTATGGTATTATATATATTGCATGTACAAGAACCAGATGAAATTAAAACAAATCACACCCTCAATCATTAAGGTGAGAAGTTTGGCTCAGGTGACTTTCTTTGGATTAAGGTTGAGATCTCTTTTTTACTTTATGTATACCAAAACAACAATACGTGAGTGGCCTCCGTGACCAAGAGGTTAATGTCATTGACTACAAAGCACTTGCCCCTCACCACTATAGGTTTAAGCCCCACAAGCATCATTGGATAAATATAAGAAAGCTATTCAGCCAGCTTATGCAATGTCAGTGGTTCTTCTCAGGTACCAGTTTGTGCCTGAAATAATGTACAGAGGGGCACCTGAAGTCTTCCTTAACCAGTAAAGCTGGATTGTTGCCATTTACCTATACTGTTTGGTGCAGGACAATAATTTACAATATTGTACTGTCACATCTATAACATTGTCTACTTTCTTTTGATTTCAGAAGGGAAGAATCTTTGAACATACGAACAAATTTAAAGAAGCCAAAGAATCATATGAAAGTGCAATATCATTAAATCCTTTTCATACCAAAAGTCTTCAACATCTGGTACGTAAATATTTGGCCCGATTTCAGTTTAAAGTGTTACAATGCTTTTTAAGTTTGGGTAATTTAAACAATAAATGAGACGCGTCACGACAAATGCAACAGTGCGTTTGCGACCAGCATGGATCCAGACCAGCCTGTGCATCCGCGCAGTCTGATCAGGATCCATGCAATTGCAATCAGTTTCCCTACTTGTAATTGAGTTGGTAAGCGAACAGCATGGATCCTGATCAGACTGCGCGGATGTTTTAAAGGTACCTAAATCTTGAACAAATACATGTATTTCCAGTCCCTTCTTGTAAAAAATCCTCAGTTAAGTCCCTTTAGTGTAACATATTTTATGATGTGGAATGACGCCATGCACATCTTATGTGTAAATGTTCGGTGAACAGGTGATAATTAAAATAACCTGACATTTCACCATAATTTTGTTCAATTTTATATTTTTCTATGAAAAAATAATGAATAACCCATGTGACCAATGGAAATTTCTATAAATAACATATCATTCAGAATGTATTAGGGGTAGCACTCAGTAGAGTAGGGCAGTGTTTTTAGCTCACCTGTCACAAAGTGAAAGGGTGAGCTTTTGTGATCGCTTTTCGTCTGGCGTCCGTCCGGCCATCGTCCGTCCAGCCGTCCGTAAACTTTTGCTTTAAATGACATCTCCTCATAAACCACTGAGCCAATTTCATCCAAACTTCACAGGAATGTTCCTTTGGTGGTCACCTTTAAAAATTGTTCAAAGAATTTAATTCCATGCAGAACTCTGGTTGCCATGGCAACCAAAAGAAAAAAACTTTAAATATCTTCTTTTAAAAAACCATAAGAGCTAGAGCTTAGATATTTGGCATGAAACATCTTCTAGTGAGTGTCTACCAAGTTTGTTCAAATAAAAGCCCTGGGGTCAAAATTGGCCCCGCCCCTGGGGGTCATTGATTTTCCCTATATGCATATAGTAAAAACTTAAAAAATCTTCTTTTAAAGAACCATAAGAGCTAGAGCTTAAAAATTTAGCATGAAACATCTTCTAGTGTATGTCTACCAAGTTTGTTCAAATAAAAGCCCTGGGGTCAAAATTGACCCCGCCCCAGGGGGTCATAGATTTTCCCTATATGCATATAGTAAAAAACTTAAAAAAATTTCTTTTAAAGAACCCAAAGAGCTAGAGCTAAGATATTAAGCATGAAACATCTTCTAGTGAGTGTCTACCAAGTTTGTTCAAATTAAAGCCCTGGGGTTAAAATTGGCCCCGCCCCGGGGGTCATTGATTTTCCCCATATGCATATGGTAAAAACTTAAAAAATCTTCTTTTAAAGAACCATAAGAGCTAGAGCTTAGATATTTGGCATAAAACATCTTCTAGTGAATGTCTACCAAGTTTGTTTAAATAAAAGCCCTGGGGTCAAAATTGACCCCGCCCCAGGGGGTCATAGATTTTCCCTATATGCATATTGTAAAAACTTTAAAAAATCTTCTTTTAAAGAACCCAAAGAGCTAGAGCTAAGATATTTAGCATGAAACATCTTCTAATGAGTGTCTACTAAGTTTGTTCAAATAAAAGCTCTGGGGTCAAAATTGGCCCCGCCACAGGGGGTCATTGATTTTCCCTATATGCATATAGTAAAAACTTTAAAAAATCTTCTTTTAAAGAACTCAAAGAGCTAGAGCTAAGATATTTAGCATGAAACATGTTCTAATGGGTGTCTACCAAGTATGTTCAAATAAAAGCCCTGGGGTCAAAACTGGCCCCGTCCGGGGGGGGGATGGGGGTCATTGATTTTCCTTATATGTGTATAGCAAAAACTTGAAAATCTTCTTTGGAAAAACCCAAATATCTAGAGTTTAGATATTAAGCATGAAACATCTTTAAGTAAATATCTACAAAGTTTGTTAAAATAAACGCCCTGGGGTCAAAACTGGCCCTGCCCCAGGGGTCACATTGTTTTTTACTATATGTGTATAGTAAAAACTTTAAAAATCTTCTTTTAAAAAAGCCAATGAGCTAGAACTTAGATGTTAAGCATGAAACATCTTCTTATGGGTGTCTACCAAGTCTGTTCAAATAATGAATAAAAGCCCTTGGGTAAAAATTGGCCCGGGGGTGGGGGGCCTACATACAGGTGAGCGACCTCAGGGCCATCATGGCCCTCTTGTTTTAAAAATTCAGTTCATTTTATATTGTATCATACACATTTTTCAGTATCTATTATTGGTCAATCATCATAACAATAGCCTATCTTTTGAAATCTGTTACAAATCAAACTCAACTGGACAGGAAAAATATGAGTATAATGCCACTTTAATGAGATCTTTAAGCATAAATAACAAACGGCCCTAGTGGCAAAATAGTGAAACACATACTGGTGTTATTATGTAAATTTATGAATATTGTTTTCTTGAATCATATATGTTTAATGATATATATAAAACAATATAAACGTATAAATTTTCAGGGCATGGTGCTGCATTATTTAGATAGTAACAAATTAGCAGAGAAGGTGCTTCGAGATGCCGTTAATGCAGATCCTACCTCAAATAAATCCTGGTAAGCATATATACAGTTTTATCACTTTATAAGTAAGTAAATTTTCATTGTGAATACTAAATTTATTGAATGAGTGAAATAAAATCATATTTTGCGAGCCTCTTCACAAATTTAATATCCTTTTCATCACATATCCAAAATAAGAATGGTTTAAAGTAAAAAAGTGTCATTTTCATTGACGCGCCTAAAAGATAAGGCTAGCATTAGAAAAAGTTTAAAATAAATAGAAAATTCAAGTTGTTTTTCTGTAAGTAGGGGATTTCCTTTTCATTTCTCTGTATGAAAATTATCATATTTTGCTTGTGCCTTAGTTTCATACCACTTGATGAAAATATATCCTGTATTTATAGCGAAAAACTTATTATCCTTTATATATCTGAAATAATTGTAAAATGTATTGCAGTGTGTTATGAAGGTCTCCATCCGATTTACTGTCAACAATTTGTTTCTGCATAATTTGTAATTACTTTGTTTTTGTTTTGTTTTTTGTACCCAGGTAAATTATACATTCTTTTTCGTACCCGCGTAAATTGAATATTTTTTTTGCATCCATGTAAATTATGTATGATTACCCTTTTGCTTTTTATTGAAAATTAACATAATTGGGAATTTACAAGTATCTATTGGATGTGTCACGGTACAGACCTTTCTGTCTGACTTTATGTAAACAAGAAGTGTCTATGCTGTTACATTTTAAAGGTTTCTTTGATGAAATTCTTTGAGAAAATTATGTCACACCTATTTACCAGTTTATCACGACTATCGAGTACAGTTTTAACTTAGTTTGTATCATGTCATTAAGTTATTGACCTCCGAATTTTCTTTTTATAAATAATTTAAAAATGAAAATGTTCTCTTTTTTATTTACAGGTATTGTTTAGGCGTGGTTTTAGAAGCCCTCGGCCAGTCAGAGGCAGCTGTCAATTGTCAGTTGACGGCCCTTGACCTTGAAAGTTCAAGTCCCATCGTTCCATTCCATGTTATTCCAAAACTTATGCAATGATCTTTAGATACCAAATGTTAGCTACTTTCAGGATAAATGTGTTATCAATATTTTAACTAATGAGCAGTATTTTTTTATTGTTTTAAAAAATCATGACAAAATTTGGTTCACTGTTGTAATAATTTATTATGTTAAGCTTAAAGATTTCTTAGTTAATGTTTTTAGTATGGTCACCATTTTCCTTACCCATACTGTGTTACTCTTTTATAAAAGACTTGTTCAGTTTTGAATTGAATTGTCCAGTTTTAGAATGTTGATTTTGATTCTGAAATGCCAGAATTTGGGTTACAATATCGTGCCTTGATGGGCATACCAAGAATCAGGCTGGCCTATTGTAATGCTAGGTTATTTAAAGCTGCATACCTCCAGATGAGCCAAAATATTTAATAGAAAATCAATCTTGTGAAAAATGTTCTAAGATTATAAGAAAAGTCAAGTAAAAAAAAGATTAATGATTTACATGTTATGTGTCTTTAATGACTGATTCTGCAATATTTATCACCATGTTTCTACTGCATTATTAATGTAGTTAATTTGCATATTTTTGCATATTTTGACCTGTTTCTGGTAATTTACATAGATTGAAAGAGCTTTTTGTAATGTGAAAATTACTTTCTTTGCTCACTTTACAATATTTTACTGAAAATAAATTTTCAAAATTCAAAAAAAAAAAAGCATGAATCTGGAGGCATGCTGCTTAAAGCTTGCATTACAAATATTGAAGGAAGAGAAGTTAGATGTGTAGTTGTCTCAATGTATCTCAGTTTGTCCACACTACAGAAAAATAGATACAGAGCCATCTAATAATGCAAACTAAACAAAAAGGGAACATTTAGGAAATTTGGATCATGGTCGAAATATCACAATTTTTTGAAATCCCCACCGGGACATCACATGCATGGAATAATTGAGTTCATTCCATTACAATGGAATACAGGGCCAATGGACCTCTTTCAAACAAAAGGAAAAATTAAACAAAAGCAAATTGCCCTTATTTCGTTTCGCTCTCATGTCCATCTTTCTGTCCAAGTTTTGATCATTTTAATTATACAAAGCGTTTTAAACAATAAAGAAAATGACAAAAGGAATTGCACCTATCCCATTTCAGTCACATGCTCATCAGTCTCTTTTGGAGTCAGAAAAGCATTTAAATTTTAGTGGGAGATTTTATAGTAAAATATTGCACTGTCATTTATTTTTGTTAATAATAAAGAATAGATTATTTTGGTGTCACATTGTATTTTTTATGTTATCATTCAGTTGCATTTTTTCACATATTGTATGTATTGTTTTAAATCATTAGCTAGAATTCACATGTTGCCATTAGATTCAAAGTCTGTAGATAAAAAGTAAATAAAGTTGTTTACATGTAGTTACACATGCCACTGTTAACATAGTGCACTGTCTATCTTAGTTAAACAACATGTAAGTTTTAAAATATTCCCTGTCTTGTGATAGATTAGAGTTTGGAGAAATACTGATAAAATACTATAAGCGATGTCATAAGTGATGTGATTAGTGCAAGTAGTGTTGTTAGTAGTCGTTGCATTAGTGATGTCATTATTAGTGATGTCATTATTAGTGATGTCATTATTAGTGATGTCATTATTAGTGATGTCATTATTAGTGATGTCATTATTAGTGATGTCATTATTAGTGATGTCATTATAAGTGATGTCATTAGTAATGTCTGTAGAATGTCATTATAAGTGATGTCATTAGTGGTACCATAATAAGTGATATCATTAGTGGTGTCATTATTGGTGATACCATTATTAGTGATGTCATTATTGATGATGCTATAGTAATATCTAGCAGTGATGCCATTATTGGTGATATCATTAGTGGTGTCATTTGTAATGTTGAGTAGAGATATCATAAGTGATGTTATTATTAGTGATATCATTATTATTGATGACATTATTAGTGAAATCATATGTAATGATGTCATTATAAGTGATACCATTAATGATGATATGAGTAAATATATGAAATATGACACAGAAAAAATATATTTTAGCAAATCTTCCATTAAATTAGCCTTTATCATTTGATATTTGTATTTATTTCTTAGCATTTTAGTGCATTTATACTTAATGCTCTTAGCAATCCAGGTGCTTTGTAATTTTGGACTATGGCATATGTTTTGGTTGATATTTCTTTGAATAAATCATTGAATGTTGAAACATTCATGATCATATGATTATCTTCATACATTCAAACTATGAATTACACAATTCCTAAATTAACAGTCATCCTGTTTGAAATTTGCTGCCAAGTTTTTACATTGAAATATAGGCAGATATAAAAGTGCCAAACTTTTAATTTGGTCCAGGAAATAGTTATAGTTGAAGACAGTATGAAAGTAGATTTAAAGCTTATACTTTGTTTATTACATGAAATTCGACATTTCTGAATAAAATTCCACATTTATTTATATTCCGTACAAAACAACATGTATACATGTATATTATGCTTACATGATGTGTGGTTTCTTCTATGGGGATTTGTTTTGTTATTGCTAAGTTACTATAAAAAGAATTTTAAAGTAGTTATATGTCAAATGTTATCCATTTTAGTTAATATTTGAAGCCCTCACTAAGGGAGTAGGGGAGCATATGGTTTTGAACTTGTCTGTGCACCCTGTCCGTCCATAGACAAAACAGTGGAATATTTGGACATGTCCATGTCCTAAGGATACTTTTCTAGTTATGCCCCTCCCCACTTCCCTTTGTGGAGTGGAGATAGATTTGTCCACACCCTGGAGACTGACAGAACTGTGGAATGTGGTGGAATCTGTGTCCTATGGACACATTTTTAATTTTCTGTTTTTACTCAATATGAAAAACAGTTTGATTATGTGTTAATTTATGCAACATGTGCAATCATTCTTTTACAAAAAAAAAAATCTTACTTAAAGCAGCATGCCTCCAGGTTAATTTGTAAGAAAATTTTAAAAATGGATTTAATAGTAAAATATTGTCATGTGAACAAAGAATGTGACTTCCTCATCGCAGACGGCACTTACAATTTACATAAATGACCTTAAAGAGGTCAAAATATGGCAAAAATAGCCCTTACTGTGTTAGTAACTCAGTAAATATGTTGATAAATACTACAAAATATTGGCACAATATTTTTAAATTATTATTTGAATATTTACTTTTCTTTATCTTTGTGCATTTTTCTCAAGTTTGATTTTGTTGAAATATTTTGACTCATCTGACAACATGCAGCTTTAAGATTTGGATATGCCATTTTAATGTATCCTAGTGCACATACACTATACATATATTATTAGTCACTTTAAGTACATTATCTCTCTTGTTATACATAAAGTTTCGGGTTGAACTCAAAACTCATTGTTTTCATAACATTTAGTACATATAATTATTCTTGCACACCCATAAATGTACACCCTGGGAAGTTTGAAAACTGTTTTAAGACACTCAGATACTTTCTAAGACAACAAACTTTTTTCCCCAGCTTTCTCCTTTTGTATACTTAGTATACATCGAGTTAGGTCCCTTTGGCATGCTAGATTTTCACGTCAGGACATGTTCTATGAATTTAATGATATAAAACATTGGACAAGAATTTTTAGCTCACCTGTCACAAAGTGACAGGGTGAGCTTTTGTGATCGCTTTTAGTCCTGCGTCCGTCCGTCGTCCATAAACTTCTACTTTAAATGACATCTCCTCATAAACCACTTGGCCAATTTCATCCAAACTTCACAGGAATGTTCCTTTGGTGGTCACCTTTAAAAGTTGTTCAAAGAATTTAATTCCATGCAGAACTCTGGTTGCCATGGCAACCAAAAGAAAAAACTTTAAATATCTTCTTTTAAAAAACCCTAAGAGCTAGAGCTAAGATATTTGGCATGAAACATCTTCTAGTGAGTGTCTACCAAGTTTGTTCAAATAAAAGCCCTGGGGTCAAAATTGGCCCCGCCCCAGGGGGTCATTGATTTTCCCTATATGCATATAGTAAAAACTTAAAAAAAATTCTTTTAAAGAACCCAAAGAGCTAGAGCTAAGATATTTAGCATGAAACATGTTCTAATGAGTGTCTACCAAGTTTGTTCAAATAAAAGCCCTGGGGTCAAAATTGGCCCCGCCCTAGGGGGTCATTGATTTTCCCTATATGCATATAGTAAAAACTTAAAAAATCTTCTTTTAAAGAACTCAAAGAGCTAGAGCTAAGATATTTAGCATCAAACATATTCTAATAGGTGTCTACCAAGTTTGTTCAAATAAAAGCCCTGGGGTCAAAATTGGCCCCGCCCCGGGGGTCATTGATTTTCCTTATATGTGTATAGAAAACATAAAAAAACATCTTCTTTGAAAAAACCCAAATACCTAGAGTTTAGATATTAAGCATGAAACATCTTCTAGTGAGTGTCTACAAAGTTTGTTCAAATAAAAGCCCTGGGGTCAAAACTGGCCCCGCCCCAGGGGTGTCATTGTTTTTAACTATATGTGTATAGTAAAAACTTTAAAAAATCTTCTTTTAAAAAGCCCAATCAGCTAGAGCTTAGATGTTAAGCATGAAACATCTTCTTATTGGTGTCTACCAAGTTTATTCAAATAAAAGCCCTTGGGGTCAAAATTGACCCCGCCCCAGGGGGTCATTGATTTTCCCTATATGCATATAGTAAAAACTTAAAAAATCTCCTTTTAAAGAACACAAAGAGCTAGAGCTAAGATATTTAGCATCAAACATGTTCTAATAGGTGTCTACCAAGTTTGTTCAAATAAAAGCCCTGGGGTCAAAATTGGCCCCGCCCCCGGGGTCATTGATTTTCCTTATATGTGTATAGCAAAAACTTAAAAAATCTTCTTTGAAAAAACCCAAATAGCTAGAGTTTAGATATTAAGCATGAAACATCTTCTAGTGAGTGTCTACAAAGTTTGTTCAAATAAAAGCCCTGGGGTCAAAACTGGCCCCGCCCCAGGGGTGTCATTGTTTTAAACTATATGTGTATAGTAAAAACTTTAAAAAATCTTCTTTTAAAAAGCCCAATGAGCTAGAGCTTAGATGTTAAGCATGAAACATCTTCTAGTAAGTGTCTACAAAGTTTATTCAAATAAAAGCCCTGGGGTCAAAATTGGCCCCGCCCCAGGGGGTCATTGATTTTCCCTATATGCATATAGTAAAAACTTAAAAAATCTTCTTTTAAAGAACTCAAAGAGCTAAAGTTAAGATATTTAGCATGTTCTAATAGGTGTCTACCAAGTTTGTTCAAATAAAAGCCCTGGGGTCAAAATTGGCCCCGCCCGGGGGGTCATTGATTTTCCTTAAAAGTGTATAGCAAAAACTTAAATTCTTCTTTGAAAAAAAACCCAAATAGCTAGAGTTTAGATATTAAGCATGAAACATCCTCTAGTAAGTATCTACAAAGTTTGTTCAAATAAAAGCCCTGGGGTCAAAACTGGCCCCGCCCCAGGGGTGTCATTGCTGTTAACTATATGTGTATAGCAAAAACTTTAAAAAATCTTCTTTTAAAAAGCCCAATCAGCTAGAGCTTAGATGTTTAGCATGAAACATCTCCTTATGGGTGTCTACAAGTTTGTTCAAATAAAAGCCATGGGGTCAAAATTGGCCCCGCCCTAGGGGGTCATTGATTTTCCCTATATGCATATAGTAAAAACTTAAAAAATCTTCTTTTAAAGAACTCAAAGAGCTAGAGCTAAGATATTTAGCATCAAACATCTTCTAATAGGTGTCTACCAAGTTTGTTCAAATAAAAGCCCTGGGGTCAAAATTGGCCCCGCCCCGGGGGTCATTGATTTTCCTTATATGTGTATAGCAAAAACTTAAAATCTTCTTTGAGAAAACCCAAATAGCTAGAGTTTAGATATTAAGCATGAAACATCTTCTAGTGAGTGTCTACAAAGTTTGTTCAAATAAAAGCCCTGGGGTCAAAATTGGCCCCGCCCCGGGGGTCATTGATTTTCCTTATATGTCTATAGCAAAAACTTAAAATCTTCTTTGAAAAAACCCAAATAGCTAGAGTTTAGATATTAAGCATGAAACATCTTCTAGTAAGTGTCTACAAAGTTTGTTCAAATAAAAGCCCTGGGGTCAAAACTGGCCCCGCCCCAGGGGTGTCATTGCTTTTAACTATATGTGTATAGCAAAAACTTTAAAAAATCTTCTTTTAAAAAGCCCAATCAGCTAGAGCTTAGATGTTTAGCATGAAACATCTCCTTATGGGTGTCTACAAGTTTGTTCAAATAAAAGCCCTGGGGTCAAAATTGGCCCCGCCCTAGGGGGTCATTGATTTTCCCTATATGCATATAGTAAAAACTTAAAAAATCTTCTTTTAAAGAACTCAAAGAGCTAGAGCTAAGATATTTAGCATCAAACATGTTCTAATAGGTGTCTACCAAGTTTGTTCAAATAAAAGCCCTGGGGTCAAAATTGGCCCCGCCCCGGGGGTCATTGATTTTCCTTATATGTGTATAGCAAAAACTTAAAATCTTCTTTGAGAAAACCCAAATAGCTAGAGTTTAGATATTAAGCATGAAACATCTTCTAGTGAGTGTCTACAAAGTTTGTTCAAATAAAAGCCCTGGGGTCAAAATTGGCCCCGCCCCGGGGGTCATTGATTTTCCTAATATGTCTAGAGCAAAAACTTAAAATCTTCTTTGAAAAAACCCAAATAGCTAGAGTTTAGATATTAAGCATGAAACATCTTCTAGTAAGTGTCTACAAAGTTTGTTCAAATAAAAGCCCTTGGGTCAAAATTGGCCCCGCCCCAGGGGTGTCATTGTTTTTAACTATATGTGTATAGTAAAAACTTAAAGAAGTCTTCTTTTAAAAAGCCCAATGAGCTAGAGCTTAGATGTTTAGCATGAAACATCTTCTTATGGGTGTGGGGGGGGGGGGCTATATACAGGTGAGCGACCTCAGGGCCATCATGGCCCTCTTGTTAGAGATATTATTTGTGTGTTTTAGAGGTTAAGATTGATAAATAACCATATTTCTTTCACTTGAGTAGCACCTCTATACGTGGGATTGTTATTTTGATATGTTGGAAAAATGTACCACTAGTCATAGAGTATTGCTCAAAACACATTGTTTATTGTTGAATATTTAAGATAAAATGTGTTCAAAAATGTTCTGTAAACATAATATATATGCATCTTAACTATGAATGCAACAATGAAAATTGTTCGGCGTTATTTATGTTATCAATCTATGAATTCCATTCAGAGCCGGGAAATTAGTTATATTCTGTCCAAGTTCTAAGGAAGTGTTTATTTTAGAATATTTACTTGATAAAAAAAATCACCACTCAGGCGAATGTGTTTAAAAACTCACTGATAAAAATTGAAAGAAATTCCACACTTCATCATGTTTATTTTGTATAATAATACTACTTAAATAACATGAAATCAACATTTCTCATCCTACAGCACGTGCGTGGTAGCACGTGCGCACGCATTATTCAACCATTTCCGGCATACTTTGGTACATGATACTGGCGAGGAGATCAGGATAGCGGAACTTGCCAACATGTTGTAAATATGAAGTTTTCAGTATACGACAATAGTAATAGGAATACTTGTTTTTTTATGGGAAACAAAGTTGCCTAGTAACTTTAGGCAGTTAATTTTATTTAAAGAATGATTACCGTAGTCCTCATATTTAGCACCCGCCTCACTTACTTAGAAAACTTGTGATGTGAAGGGGTGGTACTTAAAGAGGGAACACACGTTCAGCTTACGAACTAATCAAGTCAAAACTAAAATTTTGTCAGGCAAAATAAAAAAGGAATATCTGTGCAAAACAGTCATTTCGTAACTTGACGAAAATAAATGAAATAATGTGAAAGTTCATTAGCTATATCAAAATACGTGGGGCGCTAAATGAGACGAATACGGCTCTTTGTATAAGAGTAAATTAATTTTAGAATTGTTTTAGCCATAAAGGTTTAGTACTTTTATTTTTATTTAGATCTTGTGAACTTGTTGTGTAAATGTAGTGTTACGTGTATATTGAACTCTATGTATAAAGTTATTTATTACATAATACAAATTTTAATGTATTGTTAAAATGTACTACGAAATAGAAATAAAATAAAATTAAAATGAATGGTTTCAAGTTTATTTGATCGCAGAGATGCATCCGATTTATAATGAAATTGTTAAAGGTACATGCATTAAAGCGGTTCTCAGTTTTTTTTGTTGGAAAAACAATTCTGTGTTGTTTTGAAACGAAGTATTTCTCACCCACGCGACAGTGACGTTCGCTTCTAAAAATAGAAGATCGGAAAACGAATCGCTTTAAATAGTAATTTACATGTATCGATTGGTTTCCTTATTATTTATGTAGATTTCATTTCACACCTTAATTCCTTTGATTTGAAAGTCATATGAAACGATTTATCTAAAAAATGTCCATGTTATGACTTTTATTTGATAATTAACTTGGATTGAACGTAGGCCTATAGTGTAAAATACATTCTTTGTTCACCTAAAAATTAATTATTTTTCATTACATGCCGGAATGCCGCTTTAATCAGATCTATAGTGATGTACATATATACCTGCATTCCCACAATATAAACGATCAATGACTTTGTGACTTGTGATTGTTTACTGTAAATGTAAATACAGTACGACATTTGTCGTCTGCTAACTTCAAATATCAATATATCTCGTATCATAAGTACAAATGAACGGATTTCATCCAAGTTTTCGAAATAAGAAATATTTTTGTTGGCCTTTCAAACGTTTACAAAATCTGTTGGGGATGTGTTATCAAAATGAAGAATTTGAGACGATTGACATACGGCCGCCACCCTTGTTGCGATTAATATCAAATTTCTAATTTCAAGAAAAATTAAATAATACTATCAAACGGAGTAAAATTTACTTACACCATAGTTTGTCATGCTAAATACAACACAATTATACCTAGAATTAAATCGGAGAATAAATTTAATACAACGACAACAACAACAAAGAAACAACAACAAAAACACAAAAATAACAAACACCAGCACCACCACCATCAACAAAACAACACACAGATGCACGAGGGTAACATAGCAATTATCAGTATTGCACAAAAAATCTTTATAAAAAAATCCTCTATTTTTTACTGAGCGCAATACAGTTAGTCAAAATATGAACATTTACTAAATTCAAGAAATCAATATTCACCTACATATCATGCCCTTGTTTCATATGAAATGATTCTCGTCTTCAATATCGCAATTGTAACAACATTTGCCAAAATTGTCTTTCTATTCTAGTAATTCTTATAATTCATATCTTCCAGTCTATGTGACCTTCGTACAGATACTCTAAATATTGTCATTAAACGGGTTTTATGATATAGGGAACACGATCAAATATTGTTCATAGTCGATCAAAACATTCCACGGTTTCCGTTTAATTTTACGATGCCCTGTTTGGGCTAAGTGAACGTGCGACAAAATCCATTAAATTTTGCTATAATTTTCATCTCGCCTAGCAATGTTTCTTTCATAACAAAAAATGGCGTCACAGCGCATCAAAATCTCGCATGTAATCCGGCGACATTGTATCTGTCTCAAACAGAACATCATTCAAACTAATTGTCCACTCACACTACAACAGTCTACACAACAATGTTTGAAGTTTAAAATGAACACTTTATCATCTATAACGCCAATTTGACTTCCCGGAAAGGAACCATTTCACAGAATATGTAAATTGTTTATATTTGTATTCTAGTAGCTTGTACGATTACTCTTAACATTTGTCTTTGGAAATGTTCATGCGAAAACTATGTGCATTTCAACATATTACAGAAACTGACATATTTATTAGTCAAACTTAACTGAAAAGTCTCAAATCTTTCAATATTTTACAAACGTCAATCAAAATCACAAGTCCCAAAGCAGTACCAATAACCATTGCTCCTGAAATTCCTAACCATTTACTTTTAACACGATTGTCCGGTGCTGAAGTAAGTTTCCGTCGTGTGGCTGACAGTTTTGATTTGTCCACTCGCATTTTCAGAAGCATTTCATAAAAGTCTTGATATGTAAAATTGTGTGTGGATAATACCGGAATTTCACATGAGCATGGCGAAGCTTTCGTTTTTGGTGTTGTTAGCGAACTTGTGTTGTTTACAGGTGTGTTCGAAAAATTGGAAGTGGAACCTGTTGATATAGTTGTGATAGTAGTCGGAATATCAGATGGCGATGCTGTGTTAGTAGGAATGTCAGATGTCGTTGTGCTAGTAATAGGAATGTCAGATGTCGTTGATTTGCTGGTATGAATGTCAGATGTCGTTGTTATGCTAGTTTTAGAAATGTCAGATGTCGTTATTTTGCTGGTAGGAATATCAAATGTCGTTGATGTACTGGTAGGGATATCAGATGTCGTTGTTGTACTGCTAGGAATGTCAGATGTCGGACTTATGCTGGTAGGAATGTCAGATGTCATTGTGCTGGTAGAAATATCAGATGTCATTGATGTGCTTGTAGGAATATCAGATGTCGTTGATGTGCTTGTAGGAATATCAGATGTCGCTGATGTGCTGGTAGGAATGTCAGATGTCATTGTGCTGGTAGGAATATCAGATGTCATTGATGTGCTTGTAGGAATGTCCGATTTCGTTGATGTGCTGGTAGGAATATCCGATGTCGTTAATGTGCTTGTAGGAATATCAGATGTCGTTGATGTGCTTGTAGGAATATCAGATGTCGTTGTTGTGCTTGTAGGTATATCAGATGTCGCTGATGTGCTGGTAGGAATTTCAGATGTCATTGTGCTGCTAGGAATATCAGTGCTTGTAGGAATGTCCGATGTCGTTGATGTGCTGGTAGGAATATCAGATGTCGTTGATGTGCTGGTAGGAATATCAGATATCGTTGATGTGCTGGTAGGAATATCAGATGTCGTTGATGTGCTTGTAGGAATATCAGATGTCGTTGATGTACTTGTAGGAATATCAGATGTCGTTAATGTGCTTGTAGGAATATCAGATGTCGTTGATGTGCTGGTAGGAATATCAGATGTCGTTGATGTGCTGGTAGGAATATCAGATGTCGTTGATGTGCTTGTAGGAATATCAGATGTCGTTGTTGTGCTAGAAGTTGTTGTAGTTGTTAATTGTATGTTTGTTGTTTGAGTAGAATCCGGCTCTGTAAAATAGATAAAATTAAAACATTTAACGAATAGAAAAAAGACTTCTGTCTTGATAATGAAATAAATATGCAAATACTAAAGATGAATAAGCGCTAATTTTCTGATTTTGTTCATCACATGGTAGAACGTTTTCCAATGTTTTATTTTATCCACTAAGACCACTGTTAGTAAGCGAGTTGGTTTATGATTACGAAAATATTATTAAGACTACTTGGGTTATTTTATAATAAAAAATATCAACAAATTTCAATTGGCCGTTGACTTCAAGCCATTAGCTCTCACCGTTATAGGTTCGAGTATCGCTAGGGGCTATGATTCTTTCATGTGGCGAAGCTATCCAGCTCTTTCAAGGAACGCCGGTGGTTCTACTCAAGAAGCTCGTTCGTGCCTGAAATAATGCACGGAGGGTCACCTTAGGTCTTCCTCCACCATAAATGCTGGGAAGTAGCAATATGTCCATTAAAGTGTTGGTTCGACGTAAACACCAACACAATTTGCTTACTTTTTATATTCTTTTTTTCCACTTTTGCAACATAACATACATGTAACATTGTCTTACCAAGGCTCATACATTCGTCTCCCATATTTTTCAAAACCAAGCATTCACCGTAAGGTCCTTCAGGGAATGTGTAAACCGGCTTAAATTCAACTCTAACAACTTCCGGCGGATCAATTTTGTTTGTATTTTTCACACAAACCCATCTGTTATTAGGATCTTTCTCTACAATTTTACCGTCTGCCATCTGTGATGAATATCATACAGGAATACATAAACAAAATACATGTATATAATTCACATATATATATAGCAGCCTTCACCTAATACTTGCTTAACTTATTCTTTTTACAATTTGAGATATCGTGACAAACGGTAATTAAAGCGTTAGTCAATCCTGCAACCAACATGTACGAAAGACCGGTAGGGCCAATCCAATTTAATGATTTCACAATTTAAAATTCGCGAATTCCCGTTTTAAATATACGGAATTCACGATTTCAGCTTCATGAATTCACGATTTCAACTTCACGAATTCACGAGTTCATCTTCGTGAATTCATGATTTCAACTTCACGAATTCACGATTTCAACTGCATAAAGTTACAATTTCAGTTTCACGAATTCAACTTCGTGAATTCACGAATTAAACTTCATGAACTCACGATTTCAATCTCATGATTTTATTTTAGTTGAAATCGTGAATTCATGAAGTTGAAATCGTGAATTTATGAAGTCGAAATCTTGAATGTATGAAGTTGAAATCGTGAATTCATGAAGTTGAAATCTTGAATTCATCATGTTGAAATGTCCCCACCGGTCGTTCGTAAACATGGTTAGATGTACCGGATGTTCAGATGCCTGTTTAGAAAACATTTCGCACCACCTGGGTAGTGGTTAAAGTGTATAAATAAGTTTATTCTCTGTTTATATTGGGATTAAAATTTATATTGGGATTAAAACGAAAGCAGAATACATAGAACGATAGAACTTTGTTAAATATATTTCATTGAAAGCGAGTGTTGCATGTGTGAAATCATTGCCAAACCAACTAAAACCTCTCCCAGAACACTTTTTACGTATAATTTACATCTATATCAAAATACATGTACAAAAATAATCTTTATTACAAATATTTCAATAAACGGTCATAAAGTTATGAAAACAGCATAATTTTACTGTTATATATACATGTATATTTATTTATTAGCTATAGCTTTACTCTGTCTAATTATAATTTTTCTCCATTTCTTATTACAATAATTTTCTGCCTATTGTATCGTGATACAAACAATTTCTTAAATTGGAGAGAACGTGTTAAAGGGACCCGGTAGCCCACTCGGTCACCTGGGAACAGTATACCGATGCCCCTCTCTATGTTGACAACTAATAAAACAATGATAACTTAAATAAAAGGCAACTAGACTTAAAGATATACTATGCTCAACTTTGATATTGTCTCTTTTTAAATATAAAATAAGCATGTTTTGACATCACACAAAGAAGAAATGTTACGTTTATAGTTCTACACACTACAGGTGGTCACAACATGAATAGACAGTATCACTAAAAAACCTAGCAATCAGTATTTTAAAGAAAAATAGCAACTTTTCTTATCTATAATAGGGAACACAGCATAGTTTATTAATTCTTTTATTCAAAATAGACATATTCAGTAAGAATTTAATAGATTTCAATAAATTCCTGTGACTCAACGTTGAGAATAGTATATCTAACAGTCTAAAGTAAACAAAATTTTACAAGTATGACGCTATGTTTATATAAAGTAAAAGTTTAATTATTCATGCATCTGTAGATAGTATATCATTGTGCAATATACTTGTAAACGAGCTTGAAAAGTGAGAGAAGTATTGTAAACAAGTTTTCACGAAATGCTTGATAAATTTCATACGTGCACTCGAAAACCAAATGTAATATTAAAGTGACTCTACTGGGATTTTTTTTGACACGATGGCACCGAACATATTTGTTCACTTTTTTTGTATAACGGTATGTAGGTCTGTAACAAATAACTCGTGTGCAAAATTTCAGTTAATTTGCTTACTCCGCTTCCCAGGGATAGCCAGTGTTATTGCGCAAATTCACCACAAATTAAAAAGTGTTTCAACTCTTTTCATTAAATTCTGCCATAAAACGCATAAGAAATCGATTATAAAATTCGAGTATATTTATAAATATTTTCTATTGTATAGTTTCCCATTTAAAGGTATGAAATAATTTCATCTTTTTTTATTTTAGGCTATTAGACTCAGTGGAGTTCCTTTAACTTGATTAAAATTAGTCTTTTTCTACAGTAACTGATAAAATTAACGTGGTATGAATCCTGTCTCACATATAAAAAAAACAAATATTTTTATCTTTAGCCTTCAACCTGCCGAAAACGAACGCCTGGCCAGGCACTTCCATTTTTTTGTATCTTGATATGAATTTAACCCCCTAAATGTTCAAATAGACTGTTCTGATTTCAAAACAGGGCAATTCTATTACAGAAATTCAGCGGGTTCAGGTCTAATACAATATAAATTTATACATTACGTGGATGGAGAATACACTTCGGGTAAAAGTTACGTTAACAGTCCACGATACATCAGTCTGGTTGAGCGTAAATTCACATGCACCCGAATATTCGTATTTGTTACCATTTGCTGCAGACGGCAAAACGATGATGTGCGGAAAGCAATGCCCAAATTTTGAGGAGCAAGATAGACAACTGTAAAAAATATTGAAAACAAGCATTATAATTATGAATGGCATTAACGGTAATCAAATTTGATATATTTTCAAATAATTACTGCATAGACATGTACATTATATGTACATTGTTTATACATGTATATTTTTCAAAATTATTTGCTTGACATGGCACAAATACTGAAAATGTATTATTATATAAATAACCTAACAATCCTTTAGTATTCAAAGTGGGGATCTCCGTGATCGAGTGGCTAAGGTCCCCGGATTCAATCACTTGCCTCTCACACCTTTGTGTTTAAAATCTTGTAAGGGACTATTGATTCCTCCAGGAAATGGTCAAACAAGTTTACGACAGATCGGTGGTTCTACCGAGGTGAAGCTCGTGCCTTTAATAATTCACGAAAGAACACCTGAGGTCTTCTTTATCTAGTAAAGCTAGAAAGTTGGTATTTTGTACATGATCTTTGCGGCGCCTTGACAGCGTCGGTGTCGCTTTTAAGCCAACATAAACAGAACACATCAATACATTAAAGGGACTCCATTGATTTTGTGTTTTTACATGACGAAAATGGAAGTAAGTTTCGATATTAATGTTCCGTTTGATGTAGGTCTAGACTAATATTTCAGATCATTCACTCACTCCGTTTTTCCCAAATGATTATTCCAATTGTGAAAAAGGTCTAAAATTGAAAAACGTTGCAACGCTTTTCACTCATAGCCAAACACTATGATTTTCAATTTATTCCGAATATATTTTTTAAATATCTTTTGCAAATTTTTCAGTTTCAAATGCTACAGTACTGATGATCTAAGTAAGGAATTTAAATTTTATGTTTCTAAGGCTTTTGACCGCTGTGGAGCTCCTTTAAGACGGAAAATGCATATGTGAGCAAAAACAAAAAATCTAGATTTATTACGCTACTTATTAAGGTATAAAATACTTAAAATGACTTACCAAAGCGTTATGACAATAAAACGAAATAGAATCATTCTCCAATTATTTAAATATAACACTGTAACATAAACAAAATGCAGTATTAAATATAAAAGTATTAAAAATAAATTATGTTTTTTTAAGCATACACAATTTTATTATTACATATTCAATACAAACGTACAAATACAAATGACTTATTTTTGTTACTTTATTCGCTTTTTACTTGTTGACAAATAGTTTTACGACGTTTTAAGACGTTCTCATGAAGTGAATGTCGATTTGTATTCCCATTCAAAGTTATTTGTATTATTCCGGAAAGATTTGCGCATAAATACCGGAAACGCACCGCTTTGAGTGTTTGAACATGCAAACTACTCCATTTAAACTTTTCCAGATATCTTTAAGTGAAACAAAGCCCTAAAACGAATGTCTCACAGCTCAGTAAGACAATTCGTCTTAAGGCGTTTTTTAATCTATAAATAACAGCCAAAGTCAACACTAAATCGACATCTAAAAATAGAACATGTGCACCATACAGTAGCGAGCCAGTTTTAATGATCTTTTTGTTGTGTTTGATAATTTGAAAAGGTCAACTTTATTAAGGGCACAAATTCAATCCAAACACCCTCTTACGGAAATTTATGTTGCTATTTTGGGCACAATGCTCACAGGCTGAAAATGACTAACATGACATGTGAAGTAATCACACCACAGTAAGGTTATAAAATGAGTGTCGCGACATATACAATGAACAAGATTTGACCATTTCTTCTCATTCACCTCCTGCTTAAGCATGATAACAAAAAAGGACGACAAAAGACTTAAAAAAGGCCCGCCTATGGGTCACGTCATCCGCCATGTTTTTTGTCGGGTTTCCTATATAGAATTGAAATACTATCTTCATGACTATGCGAAGCTGGGAACCAGGGACTCCTGTTTGGTAAATAGTATTCTACTGTAAGTATCTTCCGTTTGCCCCTAGTTTTTTTAAAATTTAATTTTGCCCCCACACGACCCGACCTTCTAGTCCCCTTCCACAACACCCCTTAACATTTTTAGGCCAATCATTAATCGTTTCTTTAATTTTGCTCTTGGTTTCTATTATTTCCTATTATATATTGTCATATTAATCACCCCGTCTATGCTTTGACTTGTCCCCTGTTCTGTTTTTATTTTGGTTCTGCTGTGCTCCGTGCGGTTGTTCTGTGTTGCTGGGTTGTGTGGGTGTTCATTGAACGTCGGCCTTCCTTGTTGATCTTGTTTAAATATTTATCTTATAGAAAGAAACAATTGCTGTATTGTTGAGGAGAGGTCTATTGGATGAAAACAAAATCAAATACCCGGCTGAACAACGAGTTCTCGCAACTTTGGTAATGCTAATACTTGTATTTGTACTGCTAACATAAGATCGCTTAAGCATAGTTATAATATACCATATCTTTCAAACCGTACCGTTTCTGTACATCTTTAAGTGAAATTGCCATATTTCCATAGATATAATTTGGTTTCATATTCGACAAATGCGCGCATCTATATTTGTCTTTGTTAACTAACTTGTAGGTATCTTAGTATTTCGATTTGGAATCAAGGTTTCTATACACAAGGTTATATTATATGTTAAGTTTTGACAATATTATAAATTATGTTTAAACCTTGAATATATTTCTACTTTAACTGTAATTTCTATATATATGTTTATGCTCTTCAATAAAAGTATCTGTCTATCCTTGTCTTCATTTGAAAAAAAGTTATAAATTTCAGAAGTAAGGTATACACATTTGATTTTAATACAATAGCTTGAAAAATGTTTCAGCCACAGTAGAGACCAACTTTTTGTAAAGAGTAATACGTTCTTTTTATTTCCCGATGACAAAGCAGCCTCTATTAATTATTGATGTCTTTAAGACTGATAACATTGTTTGAAAATGGGCATTATAACGTAACATACTTTGGCTAAGTGACCATTAAATGACCGACAAGCTGCAAATCTTTATATGTGTACATGTACTTTGATTTAACAATGATAGAACTCTTCAATAGTTGTTGATAAATTATTCTTTGATTCCCTAAACGTTACCTACAACAAAATGCGACAGTACTGTTTAAACTGTTTGATTTTTAAATTAAAATATAAAGTCGTAGTAACTACAATATTTATGTACAATGAAGTCACAGAATTTTCTTTAAACATTTTTGAAGGTTTGACAATTTTTATTTTCCTAGTAAAAGTTATTGAAGGATCGAAATATACCTTATGTTTTTTTGTTCATACTAGTCACACTGTAAATTGTCGCGTTGTTTAGTATTTTAACATCAACATAAACATTGCTTAAGAAAGCTTTAATACCCCCACCCACACCCGTATTTAGTAAAGATACTATTCTTAATGATATATAATTACTTCAATACTATTGTCAATAACGGTTACTTGTTACCGTATTCCGTTTCACAAAAAATGTAAATATGTCAAACAAAAAGAAAATTCCTGGAACGACTGAAAGACAAACAATTCCGACAGCTCCTATTGCGGCACTAGCGGGCCTATCATCTTGAGCACTCGTCAGTTTTCTTCTTGTTGATGACAAACTTGTTTTGTTAACTTTCAGCTGTTGAATCATCTCCTCAAATTCGGTTTCGGTTATCGGCTCTTCTGTTTTGTGACATGTGCAAGTCGGTGACACTGTAGAATTAGTTAATATATCCGAAGGTTGAGTGTTTGTCGCATAAGCTGTGGTTGATGACACTTCCGAAGATTGAGTTGAGTTGGTAATATCTGTAGTATTTGCCGTGTCATTTCTTTCTGGATGGCCAGAGTGAATTGTTGTTAGACCAGAAGTACTTGATATCACTGTAGATTGACTTGTAAATGTCATTGAAGTAGATTCTGCCCCTACTGTAGTTCCTGTTAATAAATTGTAGTTTGAGGTGGTTTTATGTGGTTCTGTTGTCGTAGAGGATGGTTCTGTAGTTGTAGAGGATGGTTCTGTTGTTGAAGAGGATGGTTCTGTTGTTGAAGAGGATGGTTCTGTTGTTGAAGAGGATGATTCTGTTGTTGAAGAGGATGGTTCTGTTGTTGTAGTGGGTGGTTCTGTTGTTGAAGAGGATGGTTCTGTTGTTGTAGTGGGTGGTTCTGTTGTTGAAGAGGATGGTTCTGTTGTTGAAGAGGATGGTTCTGTTGTTGAAGAGGATGGTTCTGTTGCTGTAGAGGGTCGTTCTGTTGTTGTAGAGGGTCGTTCTGTTGTTGTTGAAGGTGGTTCTGTTGTTGTAGAAGATAGTTCTGTTGTTGTCGTTTCAATGGTAGTTAAGGGTAGTGAAGTTGTCAGCTGCTCTGTGGTTGATGACCTCATTGTAGTTGGTGACTGCGTTGTAGTAGCATTTGTGGATACCGGAGATGTTAAAGGTAAAGGCGATTCCTGATCTGTCGCAAGCGTGGTACTTGTGTGGTAGATGAGCGAGTAGAAGTTGAAGAAGTTGTTTCTGCTGAATGGAAAGAAAGGCTCGAAATATTTGGATAACTGATAGTTGGAGTAGTTGAATCCGTCTGCGTTGGATCATTGATAATTGAAGAAGTTGGAATAGTTGAAGGCATCGAAATATTCGGATGCGTTGGATCATTTGTAGATTGAGAAGTTGGAAAGGTTGAAGACATCGAAATATTCGGATGCAATGGATCATTGTTAAATGAAGAATTTTGAAAAGTTGAATATATCGGATTATTCGGTTGCGTTGGACCATTGATTATTGAAGAAGGCGGAGAAGTCGAAGACATCAAATCCTTCCGATGCGATGGATCGTTTGTAGACAAAGAAATTGGTGAAGTTAAAGGCGTCGAAATATTTTGATTCGTTTGAGCATTGATATATGTTGAAGTTGGAAAAGTTGAAGACGTCGAAACATTCGGATGAGTTGGATTGCTGGTAAATGGAGAAGCTGGAAAAGTTGAAAGCGTCGAAATGCTCGGATAAATTGAATCATTTGATGTTGAAAAGTTTGAAATAAACAGTGTTGTTATGTTATATGCCGCAGTAGATGATGTTTGGTCTGAAGTTATTAGAGGCTGTGTGGTTGAGCCTTCTCTTGTTCTAGACGTGGTAGTTGACGTGATATTGGGCACGATAGTGGGCGTGTTAGAGGTAGAAAGCATGGAGGTGGTTGTGGGCGTGGTAGTGGTCGCTGACGCGGTTGTTGACGTTGTAGACGAGGTTGATGCTGAGGTCGATGTCATCGTCGTTGTAACATCAGGATCTGTAATATTTAACTGTAACAATATATTCAATAAAATCAAGAAATACATTTAAAGGTATAGGCTATTATTAAAACTTAAAACAGTGTGACGCTTATTTATACTTTTATTAATACATGTATCCGGAAGAACTGGGAACAAAAGTAAATATCAAAGTGCTTTTGACCGGTGAAATTTAAACACTGAAAATGATCAATAATTTTCCAATGAAGTATGTTCCGAGTATATAACTCTTCAGGTTTATGACAATGCAAGATCGATGAATGAGCGCCACTTTATAAAGTACTAAATATATCGCAGAATGCGAGCCAGTATAGACGATATTCACGCTATTGTTTATTCATAAATTCAAATTGTAAAAACGATTTTTTCCTGTTTCAAAGTCGTTCAGGTTCATACATTGTTTGAAATCAAATACAGATACAAATCTAAAATTTAACGTATTGTAATTTACCAACTCTTTATATTATCAACTTTTTATATTCTTCATGAATGTATTTCAGGTTTTGCGCGCTACAAATTTGTCATTTAGGATTCAATGAAATGTAAATGTCGTTTTTTAGATTAAAAGACGGACAAGTCCATTTAAGATATCAAACGTGGCCCGAAGTTGATTTACAGTTTATAAATATCTAAAATAGAAATTACCAAATGAATTCATGTGTATACCGTATGTATATTATCATATATATTTTTAGTCCCCTACCAGTTTACCGGAGGGGACTTTAGGTTTACCCTCCGTCCGTCTGTCCGTCTGTCCGTCAGTCCGTCCGTCAGTCCGTCCGTCCACAAAACTGGATCCCGCGATAACGCAAAAAGTACTGAAAATATTTTAATGAAACTTGATATATGGATAGATGGCAGTATGGAGATTATGCACGTCTTTTTCATTTCTTCCTATGTTGAAAATTCTGGTTGCTATGGCAACAAATAGACTGAAAATATGGCAAATTTTACACATAACCTGGATCCCGCGATAACGCAAAAAGTACTGAAAATATTTTTATGAAACTTGATATATGGATAGATGGCAGTATGGAGATTATGCACGTCTTTTCTTTTCTTCCTATGTTGAAAATTCTGGTTGCTATGGCAACAAATAGACTGAAAATATGGCAAATTTTACACATAACCTGGATCCAGTGATAACACAAAAAATACTGAAAATATGTTTATGAAACTTGACATATGGGTAGATGGCAGTATGGAAATTATGCACATCCTTTTTTATCTTCCTATGTTGAAAATTCTGGTTGCTATGGCAACAAATAGACTGAATTTCAAGATTTCTGATTCTAGTTTTTAAGTTTTTTCACTATAAGTTCTTTATTTCTTAAGGTATTTTCTTCAAACTTTAAATATAAGTTGCTTGTCATCAACCACATCATATGTGACAAGGTGTACAACTCTAGCACAAAATTTATCAGAATTACCTCCCTTGAACTTAAAATTTTCATGAAAAAAACATTGTTTTTTTTAATAACTTCTTTTTCTGAATGTATCTACTTCAAACTTCATATAAATGTTTCTTATTGTCACTCAACATTTGTGAATGTTCAATACTCTAGCAAGACTATTTCCAGAATTATGCCCCTTTTGAACTTAGACTTTTTTTGAGAAATTGGTAATTTTTACTCCAACTTCTTCAATCATGATAGGATTTTAAAAATGTTTTATTTTGATAACAGGGATGTTTAAAAAATAACTTTAGAGTGTCCTTCAGTATGTCTGTCTGTACATATAAAACTGTTTCCTGTGATCACTTTTAAAGAACTTTTTCAACAAATTTACTTAAAATAGGAACCTAAGTGAATGGCCAATGGCCCTTCAGACTGTTGCTTGGGCTCTTACCGGTAGGGGACTTATGGATTGCTTGCAATACTATGATAATTGCTTGTTTTAATTTTGTTTTTATTTTTCTAACTTTTTTTGAAAAATACTAAAATATTTTGTTAGATTCTTCAATGCCATTTCAATGTAATCTATAGTAGCAGTTTTTCTTAGGACAGACCGAATTATTGATATAAATGGTATATTAACTTGTGGTCCAACCCTTTTCCTTTCAAAAATGCATTTTTATGTTTTATTCTATATATTTGCATTGTACATCTTGCAAAAAATATTAGAAATAAAATATGTTTAAACTAATTATAGTGTTTCTTATTTGTTTCATATGGCATCTTTGAAATTAAATCTCCAAAATAAAACATTATGATGCTTGTCGTAGCGACTCAAACTTCTTACCATAGGACAGGCATTGTGTCTGACTATTTGTCTGGACAAAGCAGTCGCCTACTGGGTCGCCGGGACTTTCAAAGTCAACATTAAATTGCAAGAAGATTTCTTGCGGTCCTGGTTCCGGAAATTTGTTAGTGACGCAAATCCATTTCCCACTTGGGTCGAGAGATACGTCTTGAGCGATCCAAAACTGAAACAATTTAAAATTGTTGAAGTATTGAA